GGAGAACCCTCTCTGGGGAGGCTTTCAAATGTGTATTGTAAGTGAGGAGGTGCCCCTGCCCCTTTATTCGGGTTGTAGGCTGAGCTCTAGAAGGCCTCGGACCTCCTGTGCTGTTGGAAGAGTAACAGAGCTCCCTTGGCATTCCATGTGCCCGCACATGATGAAAACTATGTTGGTAGGGACATCTGAGAGGCTGATGAGTACCAACATATCTGAGCTGGACGTGGAACCGGGGAGGGAGGCAGGCAGGCAGATGGAGTGGCTGAGGCACCACGTGTTCAGTGCTCCTGGTGCTGCTGGATCCACCTGCTGGCTGCAGTCAGTTGGAACAGGTCAGTGATTCTGACCTGTTCCTGGTAAGCAATACGGGCAAGTAGTTATGTGGGTGGGTTTGTCTCCAAGTTGGCGTCCTTTTAGTAAGGGGAAGCTTTGCAGCGAGGCTCAGGGTGTTGCTTTGAGTTGCGCTTCCTCCTTTTTTAAAGGAAATGTGTGACCATAATATCCTCAGACTTAATAGAAAAGCTGACGCACGCTCTTTTGTTCTCAGTGTAAGATGAACCGGTTACACTCTTCTCTCTCCTGCAGCTTCAAAATAGGTGAGTGCTGTTTTTTGGAATATAGAGCTTAAATTGAAAAATAATATGTACTGTGTAGGTGCACTTAGAGCAACTAGCCTGGATTACTTTTCTATCTCAGGAAGAAATTGCAGGACCCGTGTAAAGCAATTCTCATGTCTCTTAAGTAATTTTCATTCTACTGCTGGGAAAAGCCACATGTTCCTTTGCTGGAAATTGGATTTCAGGCTCTCGGTTCTAGAAAATTAGTTCAGCTTCTAACCAGACCAAGAGTACACTAGATGTGTGTCTGTTCATTACTGATATTTCACCATCCACATCAACAGATTGGGGAAAACATTCTCAATGCATGTTTCTAAAAAGGACCTGTAATGATCAGGATTTGTCAGTAAACTGGAGAGCCTGTGATGTTTTCAGTATTAGAGTAGTGGACAGAAGTGATTTCTGAAAACTCTGTGCTGAGGCTTTTTCCATGCTTACTGTCACTGCAGTGACAGCTGGAGATGCTCCCTAGTTCTGCAGGCATTTGATGATGTCCTGTCTGACTTTCAGGCCTGCTGCTGAATATGAAGACTTGATGCTACTTCACAAGGTAAAACTTATTGGGGGGGGAAAAATCAAACATTTAAGGGCTCACTGTTTAGATCTTATTTTTAATTTAATGACCTCAGTAGGCAGACTTTATTCCCTAAGTTAATCCTCTGGTGCCACAATGATGACTATATAGTTTGCTACTCTTGACCAAGAAAATGATGAGAGCTCAAACCACCATAACTTCTATCTGAGGCACAGCAGCTTAAAATTCACCTTGATAAAATATTTTGGCCTTGAATTTACTTTCAGAAGCTTTTTTTCTTCCAGGATTTGAATAATGCACTCATGGAAGAAACATCACCTGGTAAGAAGCTTTGTGCAGTCTGTGTTTGGGTTTGTTCTGTGTAGCTGCTGAGTCACTGCAGTGAAAAGGGTGGGATGCATAAAATGGGATGGCAGTGCTTTGGGATTCATTGCCCCTGATGCACAGAAATGGGTACTTGTTAGTATTTCAAGCACTGTACAGAGATTTTACATGTTTCATTTTGAGAATTTGAGCTTTTCAAAGTCCTTGCTAGATGACTGCTTGATACTATTACTCCAAAGCAGATACAGTGATGACAACATAGTTCAGCAGATTGTCTCATGATGAGCCATGTTCTGTCTTTCGCTCCTATCTGATGTATCTTGCTGTTGTATGTGGCTCCTTGCTAGAAGTCTAGACTTGACTAAGAAGGCAGAGGGAATCTGATTTTCTTTTGTTGCAGGCACTGGGAAAAGCCACGAGATGAATGTGCAAGGTAAATATTGCATTAACTGCAGCTGCACAAACTAGCTTTCTGTCCCTGACCCGTCAGAAGGCTGTGTGTGATGACAACATAGTTCAGCAGATGACTTGTGATGATCACTCTACTGGTCTTTCGCTCCTATCTGATGCAGCCTCCTGTGCCTGGGGTAATTCTGGCAGACAGTTCGCATGGGAAGCTTGGGTGAAACACTGTATTCACCATGTTGTTGCTTTACAGTCTGCCCTGCCTGGAGATGGAAGAGTGCCTGTGCCCAGTAGAGCTAATTTACCTTTGCTGATGTTGGTGAACATGCTGCTGTTACAACTGAAGGTAATTCAACGTATTTTAGAAGGCTGTGTTTGACTGTGCTGCTTTTGTGGACTAGGTCAGTTACAGTGCTACATTTAGGCTTGCATTTGGAAAATGCAGAACCATATTGCTTCTGGAAAATTTGCAGCAAAGATATGTGCCCTAAATATGTCTTAACGATCCTGTATACTTCCCAGTAAAGTAGAAATTTTGTGAAGTGTTCAGATTTCTAGAATGTTCCTGCTGAGACTAAATGCCTTGAGCAGTAAATGCAGCAGTGCTAATTTAGTATCTGAAATGCTTTTTCTGGTTTAGGCCAACTTGAATGTTTGCATGGAGTTGAGGTTACTGGAGGTTTTTTGTTTTTTTTTTTTTTTGTTTTGCTGCTTTTTGCAATTCTAGCAATTGAGGAGTAAGATCCCAAAGATGCTGAGGAGAGCTGTGGGGTAGATTTGGGCTCCCCTGTGAAGGATGGGAATGTTGCAGTCTGCTGTAAATGATGTTGAATCAGGTCTCTGATCCCAATGAGGATAAAACTTGACTAAACACTGATACAGTATTTGACTGAGATGGTTGTTCTTCAGCTAAAGATTTTTGTTGGATCACATCTAATGGCAGCTTTTCCTTTGCAGGCTTTGAAAGTGCTTCTCATCAAAACGTAAGTACTTGTTTTTAACTTTGAGTGTTAGCATTAACAAGCCTAGAATGTGCTTGTGAAATGAAATACTCAGCTGAGGGCGGGGAAGGAGGGCAGCATTAGCTGCTAATTGCATTTCAGCCAGTCCAGGGGGATGTGTAAAAGAAGAGCTGGATAAAGGCCCATCCTACATGGGCTGGCTTTGTTAATCTGCATGTGTGCTTGTGAAATTGTTGATAGCACAGCACATCTGGGTCCATCCTGTTCCCAAAGCAGCCATAGCCCAGAGCAGATAGCTGTCCAGTGACTGGATGTGTAGGCTGCCTGTGTGATGAGACATAAATACCCTGACTTCAATCATGGAGGTCTGCAATTAGCTCTATCTGACTTCAGGCATCTGACTAGATTTCATTCTTCTGTGTTTGTTTTTGTGCTCTCCTGACTACTTTTTCTTCTAGTACTGTTGTGGAACTGTGAAGTGGTGCAGTTGATTGTGCTGCAGGCAGAAGTGAGTAACCAGTGAATTTCTATTACTGGTCATGGCTGTGTGTGTGTGATGGGGAAGATGCTAGATGTTAGCCTCTAATTGTGCTGCCATCTTGTAGCTGCAGGATTATTCTTAACCTCCTGCAGTAGATAATTTTGTAGCAGCCAGCAGGCTTCACCTACCAGGGTACTGGGAATTGAATTTCGTATTTGAGGCTCCAATTATTTGAGTGCTCTGTAAAGAATGTAATTGCACAGACAGGCTAGGCATGTCTTACAGGGTTATAATGATGTTGTCAAATGTCTGACCTGAAACTACTAATGTAGACTTCTCTTCACTGAAAAACCCTGTGTCTGGCAGCAGCCATAGGTGTGCTGGTAATAGATCATTAATAACTTGCAATGGGAGGGAATTCTGTGTAGCAATGGATATAAAGGGGAACAGCTTTTCTTTGAGGCTTTTACAGAAGTTGCTCTCTAGGGAGGTATAGGAAAAGTGCTACCTATTTTTGAACTGTAATTTAGGATCTTTCCTAGAGGAGAATGCTTTGAAGGTAGCTGCTGCTTTTTTCTGGGATGGAGTTGGTGGAATGTGAATGCTTCTGTGCCGCCAGATAAATGGCAGACGTTCGTCTGCTGATCGCATTTGTGAGCACCAGTAGCTTCAATGCATGTGTGGAATCACCAAAGACAGGTGGTGATAATTTTTCCAGAAGGAAAAAGAAGTTTCTGGAAGTCTCGTGGTTGTAATGCAGCACTAGCATTGTACTAAGAACTTACATCCTTGTGTTTATCTTAGATTTCAGAACGGAAGAACTGCCCAAGATCTTGTGCCAGATACTTGGTTGGTAAGCTCTTTGCTTCTCAGTTGCCATGAAATATTTTAATGAGATGTGTCGACCAGTTGAAATATGTAAGTGCTTCTGTTGGAAAGAACGCCTAAGCCTAGCAGTGCAGAGCTTGCATCAGTGACTGCTGCTGATAGAAAACAGTACAGTTACTGTTCAACTGTTTGTTGGGTAACTCATGCAGTGGGTTTTTGCAAGGATTATTACTGAATAATGTAATAAATTACTTGTCTCTGTGGCAAGATGAGTTTTTACTTCATGTGAATGAGGCGAAGTCTGAAATACTGAGTGTCCACTAAGGGAAAACAACAGTAACAACTTCAAGCTTCTCTAAGCATGTACTGTTCATGATGATTAGTTCTAAGCAATGGGAATCTCTCTGAAAGAGACTGAGGAGGACCTTTGATCTGAAACAGTACACAGATTTCAATCTTTCTTGAAACACTGCCACGCAGAATGTTAATAAAAAAAAAATCATTGTTACAGAGTGAAGCTGAAGGGGAGCATGTGAGAAACAACACCAACTTTGAGGTAAGTTTAAACTAGAGTATATTTTGGAGGTTATGAGGTCCACTAATCTCTGGGATGTTGTAAGGGTGGTGGTACATGAAAGTAGATTTGTGTGTATTTTGTTGCGAGTCTTGCACTCCCTGCTGTTGGGAGAATAAAATTGTGTGCATGGAGCAACAGTGAGCTGCAGTTCTCAATTTGAGTTAGGAATTTTCCCAGCAAATCTGGTAGCCTGATAATTCTTAAATTGTAGTCACTGGTAAACTTCATGTCTTCTGTTTCTATGAAGAAAAGGCTTGGCCACAGTGGCTCAAAAAACATTTTTTTATTGCTTGATGTCTTCACACAGTAAAAATCATAAAAGCTGAATCAGTGGGGACTACTTAAGCCAATATGTTGACAATTTAATACAGCAGAATGCACAGCAGCAGGCATACAACTCCTGGCTCGACACCTGCCTACCTGTATGGCTGTTCTGTGAACTGACACTAACACTGCTGCACACTTGGAATAAAAATACTCTTTAGCTGGCAAAAACTTCATAGTAGAATAATAGTAATCTTGCTTATGTTGGAGGTACACAAATTTAGGATTGAGCTGAAGATGTAGGTTGCTGTAGCACTTTGTTCCAGTGGTTTTATGGGGCTTATATTGTAGGTATCAGCTCATTCCAACAAAATGACTCTCAGTTAAAGTACCATTAAGCAAGTATAGCCAACTTTTTCTGATTCCTCTGGTGTTAGTGATTCTGTATTTCCAGTTCATTTAGGATTATAAGCTTTTTAATATTACATTAGGTGTTACAAATTGAAGTTGCCAGTTGACAGCTGAAATACAGCCTTTGAACAGGTTAAAATTAGTTTGATATTTTATAAACACACATATAGTGATATCTTACTCTGAAACAATTTCTCTCTTCCTCAGGAAAGGACTGCTCTGCCTCCTCACTGCGTAAGATAACACAGATTAATTCTCTCTTCTGGGAGTGTTGGTAACCACTGATGAAACTTGATTCTGCCAGATGAATTTCTGTGATATCACCATTTCCGTTCCATTCTTTCTGAGGTTACACAGCTGCTGAGGGCATCTCTTGGCAGGTGTGTCACTGCATGCTAAGTGTGTTTTCCTGCTTTAGGTGAGGATGCAACTTTGGAACTGTATGAGCAAACAGGTGAGTGTAGCTATTAATAAAACCTAGTTGCTGGAACAGATGATGATGATTAAAACCTTAGCTTGAACTCTCTCACTGAACAGAGATGAAAACCTAAGGTCTGAGTTGTTCCAGTAAGCTTGTTGTACTGGTTTGGTGCCTTGTAACAGTTCTTATGCCTTATTTAATAGGTGGAAGATCCCGGGATAATGGGTTGCACTTACATGAGCGGCATTAAAACAAGACTTTGTGATGTTAACATTTGCCTCATACACTGATTGGAGCCAATAAAATCTTGTAAACTCTACCTGCTGTTGTGAACTGCTTTGTGATTTGATTGCTTGCTATGAAGTAGCTCTAGGGTGTTTGATAAAAGCTACAATACTTGGTTTAGTGCAGGGAGCCAACTAGTTAAAAGAAATGCTAGTCCTGCAAGCGCTCTCTGCTGTAGAGTGTAGCTAATAGGAGTGTTAAGGCAGACTGGAGTTGACCTGAGCAATACCTAGGTTTGGGTGAAGTTGAAAAGAAAAACAGCAGAACAGACTTTTCACAGAACCACCACAGGGCTTGGATTCTATTAACTCTTTTCTGCTCGATGAAGTCTGGTCTGGTCAGTGGCATTGGGATGGGGTATGACTGTCCATCCTCTGTGAGGAAGAAAAATGCTAGCAGAGGTGGGGGACTTGGATAATCCAATCCTGTTTTAAAGGTAGAAATGTTTGTATGGTACTAGAGCCTGTTAAGGCATATCTGTTATCAGAACTCATTAATGCCATTATTTTCTGGAAAAACTAATGTTCTTCCCCCATCTTTTTGTGATGAAAAAGGAAACTTGCTGCTCTTAACACTTGAGCTATTGTATTGGTACAGCACTTTGAACAAGAAGAAAAACTAGATAACTCTTACAGGAATATTTTCTGATGCTTCCCAGAATTCTTGATTAAGAGGAACAAGATTGAGTTCTATCTCCCTCCCACTCCAGCTGGTGTGAACTACTTGAGTTTTTAGCCAGAGTAACTTCATCATAGATAAAATCAGTTAGAGATGTTCCTGTGTTTGCATACAAATATCTTCTGCAGTAAAACAAAAGCCATTAATAGGGTCTGTTTCCCTTCAGAGTTGATTAGTAGCCTCCTAGTATTCTCTGACTCTGGATTATTTCCTAAAATACCACACTTCATTGTGCCTGTTAAAGAGCTTGAAGGGACTGTCATAGCCTGCTGTGTAAAAGAAATCTTCATGGAATGGTTGGCCTCTGTTTCTTAAGAGTTTAGCCAAGGCTTCAGCTTCTTCAGCGTATTTATCTGGTGAGGCAAATCCACTGAAGGACCTGGTGGAAGTAAAAAGGAAAGGTTGTTTCATTCTGTTAGGAGTTCAGGCCAAAATGCAACTGTTCTCTGTTTTGTTTTTTTCCCAGAAGTGCTGGGGTGGGGAGCATCAGTATTTGAGCAATTCTTATACAATTTGTATTTAGAACTACCTGTCAGTGTACAGGCACATGCTATAGCTGAACTCCAGGCTCCTGGTTAGCATGGTATATTCACTGTACAGCTAAAAAGTTGATAGAACTAAGAATAGTGCAGCTCTTAGTTTGTCAGCTACAACCGTGCTGCTTACCTGACAAAGATGGCAGCTGCCTTCCGCTCCTCGACAAACACATCGGAGTCAGTGGGCTGTGGTGGGGAGTCCTGATGTTCAAATGGCACAAAGAAGGAGATCTTGAAGTCTGCACAGCCAGACTTTACCAGACATGTCACTGGCACAGTCATATCAATCTTGATTTCTAAAGAAGGATGAAAGATCCGTAGTAAGCTGCAAGCAAAAATGGTGAACGCAAGTGTAAAGACTGCTGCAGGCTTAGCCTAAAATCAGGTGCTAAGGTGGCCTCGGTGTTGCAGCTGAAAAAAATCTGGTTTTTACATTACCCTGCATGATTCTGCTTATATCTGCAGATATATGTCATTGCCTGGGATGCAAATCCATCCTGATGTGGTTCTTTGAGCTGAAGTTTCGCACTTGAAAGTGAGAGTTCAAAACCAGTGTGTCCTACCTTTCTCATTCTTCCCCTGGATGTAGTGGAAGAGTTTCCAGAAGCCCTGGCGCATTGCTTCCTTCTGGGTCTCTCCCTTAATGACTGTGCTGACCCACTTGGCTGTCTCATACTGGCGCAGTTCGGAGTCCTTTGCCTGAGAGGCAGCAGAAGTTACAGTGACCACAAGCAGAATACTGAAGATGACACAAAAGGGTAGCTATTCTTCCCAAATCAGCATTAAAGCACTGTGATCAGAAAACCCCAGGCAGCCTCATAGCTGCAGGCACACCCCGAAATCAAACTTTGTCTTCTTCATTGCAAAACTACACTGTTCTGCCTTAGAACAAGTTGCTTAAGATTTACAGGTGTCCCTCCTCCCACTTTGCTGTTAGGCATGAGCAGTGTTCATAGTAACGTTTCTTCATTGCTCGTCAAAGAATCCCAAATCCACCTTAACTCTGCAGCACCTTGGCTGTAGAGAATATCCTCCCAGGCCTTTAGTACTTACCATGGTCTCTATTGAGCTCCACCTAGGGGACTGCAGATCCAGAGACAGAAACGTTTGCTTGAAGGATTTGATCATCTTGCCAGATCTGAAAAGGAGACACAGTTTGTTGGCCTCTCCAGTCAATGTGGCATAGATGGGATGTGAGACAACAGTAAGGCTTTTCTGCTTAATTTCAACAGGTTTTCCTCATCCTTTGGTTTCTAACCTGTAAGTAACACCTTTCAGCCCCAGTATGAAGCAAAAAACTGTGAGGTTTAAAGTTCTAGCTTGAAATGTTAAGAGCCTTGGCTTATAATTTTTGCCATTACTCACTAGATGACACTACATAACCCGTATCCAGACAAAGCCTGCCTTTACATGTTACAGTATCCCTAGCATGCATTTCATGTTGCAGAAGCAGCATGTCATTAAGACACCATGAGGTGCTGATAATGAGGTCATAGCGGGCCATCTTCTCAAAGCACAACTCAATTGTGTGTGATTTGGGCATTAGAACAAGCTTTGAGGTTATTTTGCATTTCTTTGCTTACAGCTGCCCTCACAAGAAGCTGTTGCCCCGTAACTGCCTTTTTTTTTCCTCACAGGCTTACAGCATTCAAGGTGAATGAATGTTATTAATAGCATCTCCCACCTGACTGCTCTGAGTGACAAGGTGAAATCGTGCCACCTCATATTACCAACAAAGACAGCGTCCATGTTTTGTTACTGACTGATAGCGGTATCTAACATGAGTGGTGCACCATGTGCAATCCATGACAAATATATTTTAAAAGTCTTGAGTTACGCTGCCTTTAACACAGTGGTTTGTAAACGTCAGGCCACGACTACGTATGTAAAACCAAGACTGCTTTCTGTTTGCTTTCAGTGGCCTGGTAGCCATGAATATGGTGTATATTACACTTGCAGCCCACAGGCTGCTAGAGACTAGAGTTGAATATTATTCAACTCTATACTATACTAAACTCTATACTATAACCCTGTACACCTTGCTTTGATTCCCCTGTACACCTTGCTTGTGAGGTGGCTAAAAGGAGTTTTCTATTTGGGATTTATAAGGGTGAGAAGCTTTAAAAACCCACCCCAAACTGCTGGCAGTGCTTTCATTTACAATCCTTAAAGTATACAGACACGCATGCTGAAAAGCGCTATCTAGCAGCTGCTGTAGAGTTGTAGTACAGCAGTGATGTAACACAGACCTGATGGCAGCAGTTAAAAGCAGGCACTGTCCCTTTCCGTGTCCCAGCCTTAACATACAGCATAACTGCCCAGTCAGCACTTAGACCACAAGGTACTGTTCCACTCTAGTACGATTTCTGTCCGTAGTATTTACAAATCAAAAATAACAAGGAAGCAGGAATCCAATTGCTTTATTAGAAGCAAATGTGAACAATCTATACTGAAACTTAATACGTGGATATGTTTTATCCTTTGCCATCTCAAAGACAAAGCTGAAAAAACTTGGTTGGCACTTCCCTTTATTTCTCTTTGTCACACTTGGATAGGAAACAATTCATGTGCTGCTGGTACCCTAGCAGAGAAACAAATGTTCCTCCATTTCCATAGCTGCATTAGCTAGTCTGATTCTGTAATTGCCAGTCCTGACACGTTTTCAGAGCTGCTGCTCACAGCACTTGTAACTTCGCAACCAAAACCATCATGACTGCATGCAAGAAATACTTTTGGATTATGTACATAAAACAGCTCTTTTTGGGGAAGAGAGAGGAAAACGAGTCTTCCAAATATGGAGTTGAATTCATTCTTAGAACTACAGTAAAGCTTAGCTTTGGATTTTCTATTGTATTAATATATCTCTAACCCAAGAAGTCGTTTCCTGTTGCTGTTAACACAAAGGCTGAAAGGACAGAAAGCACAGCAGGCATCGCCACAGCTTACGCTGATGCAGTGAGTAAACGTAGCAAGTATAAGCCATTCCATGGAGCTGTTAGTTGCATTTAAGTGCAGAGAAAGTGGATGTACTTACGTTTTGGTGAACAGGCTGTCCTAGCTATTGGAGGCTGCGCGCACCCACGAGGTGCTACAAGTCGGTATTTATTTTAGTTCGATCAGACTCCGCCCATGCCTCAGCCCTGCTGCAGGGGATGCTGTTAGGAAAACCGGAGCTCTGGGTCTCATTGGAGATCTTCCACACAAAAGGCCGAAAGCTCCACCTCCTGCCCACCAGGCAACACTGGGTCCGATGTGTGATCTGGCTCCATAAGCAGTTTCACACCCTTGTGTAACTTCCACCGCTTCTATGGCACCGTGCCTACTTAGGGCTGGCTCAGCAATAGGTTTCGCGCTCCCAGGAGAAAGAACTGTACAAAAAAATAATGTCACACCCCTCCAACTCAGGTCAGAAGGTGGTGTTAGAGAATGAGAGCTTTTCCTTTTTAATCCTGGTGTGAAATGGTGGGTACAAATGTGGCTGCAAACAGCTAAGACCATCCTCACAAGATTTCTGCTGACATGTTATGAAAAGCACAGTGTTCTCTGATAGCTGGCTGTTTTGAATGGCATTTGGGGCTGGTCAGCCCCCTTAGCTCTTGGATATGTGCACAAAGGGGTTATACAGAGCTATTGTGAAATTCTATTGTGTTTATAGTACACAAAGTGAAGCTGGACTCTCCATTTAACCAGCTGCAGTTCTCGACATATTTAGATGCCAGCACAATAGGGCAAATTAAACTTCACCATTTGATTTCTAAGAACACCTCTCATGTTTCCCACACTTCATGCAGATTTCTTGCCGCTCGATTCACCCAAGCACTCTGAGACATTTGAAATCAATAGCTGGGAATGACTTCTAATAGAAAACATGCTGCCTGCAGAGATCTATACCAGGGTGCTGGCTGATACACTTATATTCTAAAAGGTTCAATTAAAAAAAAAAAAAAGTATATGCAAGTAGCACTCGCAAACCTTGATCTCATGCCATGAAAATAGGGTTGTGTAAAGAGGAATTTACTAGTTGAGCCAGTTAGAACATGCTAGGGCCTGAAACAGGTTCTCTGCAGGTTTAACTCTTCCTGTGGAGTAAACTGTTCCACCTGTTTTCTGCTTGGATCAAACAGGAAAATCATCACCAAGGTGTTTTGGGGACGGAGAAGCTGTTATTTTCTGGAGTATGCATTGGAGCTGCACTTGCTTCTGTAGGGTTAGCTGTTAAATTATTCTGTCACCCTAAATTTCCTGTGAAGTGTATGCTGATAATTACTTTCTCCAGAGCAGAGAAGGCCATGGAAGGACTACATCCTGCCACACCACTTTGGTCCATCTCAACAGTTAGCCCTGCTCACATGCGTGGAGGAGTTTTGCCTTGAAAAGGAGGGCGACTAAAATGTAGATAAACACAGGCCCACTAAATTCTTGTTTTGTTTCTGAAGCAGAGAACAAATCCCCAGTCAGTATGTATGTGCCAGCTGATGTTTCTGTCCCCAACAAAGAGCTAACTGTTCCCAGTGGAGTAGCCTGAGGTTTGAGAACAATCATCAGTGTTCCCCCAAGAGGTTGTTTTTCAACCCTCTCTTGTTCCTCATGGATGCATTGTGAAGACATGCCAACAGTTGTGAAGGGCAGCAGGGCAGCCATGAGGACATGCATTCAGTACATAACTATATATGTGCCTGTATCATAAATACCTGGGGGAAGGGGCAGGATGACAGCTGGCACATGGTTTTATGTCCGGGTAACACCTGAGCACGCTGATCTTAGCCATTGTCTGTTACACAAAAAAATAACATGAAAAAGCTGTTTTAGCACCTTGAGGTCCTGGTAGTTTGCAGAACATACAGGCAGGGATGTTCACCTGTACTGTTGGTGTGTTTGTCTATCTCTACTACATGGGGAAAGCAAGCCATATCATAATAGAAGCTTACATAAGTATGCTTTCATAAATATCAACCTCTCCTTGTACACTATACTTCTAATGCAAACATAGGTAAAAGACTTATTGCTCACAGAAGAGCTCTAAAATATATTAATTAAGCAGACAATATTCAGTATCTCATCTGTATGTATGTATGCGTGGGACTTGGCTGGTATTCTGTACAATAGCTAACAAAGCAATATTTTTCTGTATTGTAAGCTCAAGAGGCAGTAATGAGAGTAAAAGCTCACAGGCTTGCTGTTTGGAGCTGGAACTTTACTATTTTCATAAGATACTTGTGTGTGTTACAGTGTAGTGCGCTTGAACTTAAGTTGTGGTATTTCAGGCTACCAACTTCTATTGGATAAATACAAGGACAAAGCTGTGGTACTGATGGTTTCCATTTTTCCTCTGTGTAGGCTTAGCTACACTTGTCATTAACAAGCCTAGACAAGCCCTTAAACAACATGCTGTAAAGCAAAAATGCCTAGGTTTGTTCTTTGTTGTAATTGCAATCACTGTTGTCAAATGTATGCAAGTGTTTTTTAGGTCACCTTTATTCCTAGGGGTTCTTTTCACATTGCTTGCACAAATTGATGAATCTTTTCCACTGGCCTAATTGTGTCAGCCTTAGACAAACTCATGGAAAATGTTTTGTTACAGTATAGTTAGTGATAACTTTGAGTCGTGTTCTTCTAACTGGGAAGTCTGTATACTGATATGAAAAAAAGGGTGTGTAAGGGACTGAGAGGAATGCACGCTGCTCACATGCTCCAGGCAGTCTTGCTTTCCTGCTTAAGCTTCTCCCAGCATCAGCTGCTCTTCCACTTGATGATTCTGATTTAAAAGAACTGGGAGTGTTCAGGTATAAATGCATTTGCTTTTGCAAACACCTATCAGTTGCATTCTGAAGCTTCTACTTCAAAACAGAGAAAGTAGGTGTTGATGTTTCAAGTTACTGAAAATAATGGTCTGAGTCTTTCCATATGATTAGATGATCCTTATCTTTCTAATTCATCTGCTTAAAGAAACCTCTTATCTCCTTGATCTAAAGAAAGAGAAAAGCTTCTAGCAATTTCTATTTTCTTCTCATTTCCAATAAGGGAATGGGAATAACACAAGACTACCACCTTCTGAAGAAGCAGTTGAATGTACTGAAGTGCTGCTCCAAGAAGTCTCCATGTTATCCCCTGTAAATGGAATATCTCTCTAATGAGGTGGTGTTTGGACCTTGTGCTGTAACATTCTATGTCAGCACAGCAACTTGCCATTATTTGGTTGGCCTTCAGCCATAAATCCTTTGCTTTCTGGAAATACCTGTCTGTATTTTGTCCATGTGCTTTTTGCCTGTTACAAGAGATACATGAAAATGTTGCATCTCCCTTCTGCCTTGAACAAATGACACAGTTGCTAAAGCAATTCTCATTCTAAGTTGATGATGAGTATTGTTTTTTCACTACATCCAGATAGCCTTTGTGAATGAGACAACAGCTGCTCAGTGAGAGCACTATCTAAAAGCTTTCCAAATGAGTGACTTGTTGCTAGTGGTTCACTTCATCAGGGTTTGCATGGAACTCACCGATCTTGTCCAAATAAAAAGCATCCTACATCCAGCACCACTCCAGAGCATTCCTGACTTAGAGTTTTAGAAGATTTTCTTGCTGAAGGTCAACTTTTCTGAATCAATCTAAGTTTGAAGAATTAATCCTAAATTAATCCTCGCAGCTTCCATGAAGAATCTCCCTAAAGCTCCTTCTCTTCTGTCCATAGAGCCCAAAGATATTGGAATCTTTCTCAGCTTAATACACTGCTTTATTCGCTTGGCTACTTTCCAAAACAAGAGTTATTTTTAATATGAATCTGTTTAGGGATCTAGCTGCCAGCTGAACCACAAGCAGTTCCTTCAGGAAACTTCTTTAGCCAGCATTAGTATGGCAAAATAATGCAGAGAAAACCTGCATCCCCCTCGAGAGCTGGAAGGATAGGGAGCAAATTCAGTTTCTCCTACCAGTTTATCCTCTTTCTGCTTTTGACAGATTCTACTCAGAAAAATGAACATGAATCAAGGGCAATCCTTATCTTTGAGATGTTTTAGTGGTATTTTTGATTTTTTTAATTGTATTTAACAGTGATATAAGACTGTCGCGATAACAACTATAGCCTACAGCTCCGAAGATTAAAGAGCCAGATATCAGTTGTCTAAGGGCATTACTTAGAGCAAAAGCAGCTCTAAGGAGAACAGCTACATATTGATGGTTTCTTATCAACAGGAAAGTCAACCATGTTTGAAAGTGGTGTTTGAAGTCACCAGCCATCCACATCACAAATAATGTTCCCCAGAAATGAGGAAAATGAAGTTATTAACAACCACAGCAGCAGCCCAAGGCCTCTGTCTGCTAGACAGGCTCTCCAGAAGAAAGTAGGCATTCAGTATCATCCCCAGAAAGAGTGATTACCTACATCTTCCAGCAGTTCCTCAAGCAAATGCCTGTTGCCCTGTCTTCAAAGGCAGAAAGACAGTGCTTCCACAATTTCTCTTTTTTGCTCCATCTTCCTAGTCTTTAATGTGATGTCTCACTTCCATTTTTCTTTGCCTGCTTTGGCCTTCTACTTCTTCTTTTTCCCTCCTTCTCTCCCTTTCATTCTCAACTGTCTCCATCTGCATGCTGCATGGAGTGACAGCACCTTACAGCTTCCCTGTCTTGTGGTCTGGGTGCTCTTGGCTCAAAGTTTTTTGATAATGGGGACAGTCTCCAATGTGAAAAAGACCTAGGCATGCAGAAATTGCCATAGAGAGCCCAGGGACCTGAAAGCATGTCCAGGGATAATGGAAACAGGCCCAGAGAATAAGAGAAGTGTCAAAGAAAATGCTCTCCTAAAACAGATTTTTCCACATTCTACAAAAACTTAGGAGATAACTGAAAAAGCAGCATGCTTCTTGTTAGGGGGCTTTCTATTTTCAGGTCTTCAACAATACAGATGAGGACCACTGTGTACCGTGTAATGTGAGGCAGAACACAGAATCAATTTCAAAGTCCTTGCAATCAAGTTGTGAGTGTAGTTTTGGCACACTGGTGTTAGTGTTAGTGTTGTATGGCAGTAGGAAAGTGTATTCTGACTGAGGGCTTGTCTCCTGAGGTTGTTCCTGATCCTTCTTGCATGAGTTTGGATCATATCAGAACTTTTCCCATCTGCTAAGGGTGGAGATTTTGGTAACGAGTGTGGGTATTTTGATGGGTATTTTTCTTGCTTAGATTATGCAGTAAGGCTTCCCGATGGGGCTTCTTGAAGAACCCGTTCTCTCTCCAGGGATGATCCAGTGCTGCTTCCTGCAGCAGATGGCACTGTTGTTTGTTTTCAGAGGTGAAGTTTACTTTAATTACAAATTCCCTCAAAGCCTCTTGCTTGCCGAGAGTCCCTTTGGTTCATTAACAGATCCATTGTATAGTGACAGTTCTCTATAATTCTAGAGCCTTGCATGTGAATATTCTCTGGTGAGCTGTCTCTGGGGCCATTAAGTATTCAAATGCCTTGACATCTAGAGCTTTAGCATCTTGGCATGCCGAACATCTGTAGTGCAGCAGACACGTGTGAATATTCGTGTCAGAAAAATTAGGAAAAACATTGCATCAGCTTCTCAGATATTGTACTTCTGAGTGCCAGTAGACAATAGGCTATTTAAGGGAATTTCATCACTTCCACCCCTAGTACCTTTTAGAGTTTCTGCCATCATTTAGGCTTTGGTACTTGCAATTAGTTCTGAAAATAGATTTGTGTCAGAATATTGTCTTTGAAAGAAGAGTGTATCTGGGTACGTTTATTTACTTCAGAGACAAATAGAAGCCAAAGTATATTCTAATTGCACCCAAACACAACCACACACGTGATAGCTTGAGAAATGGGAAAATGCAGATCTTTGGTGCAGGTAGTTTGGGGAAGGTCAAATTAAAGTACAGAGGTGTTCAATTGTTGCCAATGTAAAAAATGTTGGAGATGTTAATGTACAAACAGCAACAGAAAGCACAGCAATCTAACATCCTTTGGAGGGAAATTGGAGTACCTTTGGCTGACCTGCCTTAGCAAATCAGTGATCTGAATAATGAAGCAAGTTCTTAGTAGCTATGTCAATTCGCTATGTCAGCACATGGCAACCTAGCTGTGCCTCTTGGCACAAAAATTCTGATTCCTAGATGTCTATAACTCCCCTCTTTGAAATTGAATACATGGGGTAATTTAGATAAGCTTTTGACACCGATGTTCATTTATTTTCCCAGTGGAAAAAAAAATACATCTGTAAAACTGTATTTTTATTCCTGTAATTGTTTTTGAAAAACAGCCACTGTATTTTTGTTGTTTTCAGTGGTGTCCTTACCATCCTCTGTGTTTTGGCAGCACTGACACTTTGCCACTCATTTCTCTGGTTACCGGGGTGATGCTTTTCCGGTCACTGCACAGCGTGCCGCAGCTGCACACAGCCTAAACCTTTCTTCTGCCTTACCCAAAATTTACAATGCAAATGTTGGATTCTCTCCTGAATACAAGCTCTCTTGTTTGCATTTTCCTGAATATAAATTTCCAGAGCCTTTTAAGCCTTTCTAAATGTGTATTTTTGGCATTGAACACACTCTTAAAATGAGTATAAAGGAGAGGAAGTATTTTAAATGGCCACAGTAAGCTCTTTTCTTCTTTCCCTCAAGGGAAACATCTTCCTTAGGATGCTGTACTCACATCCACATCATTGGCACTGCTGATTGCTCAATTGGTGTATTGGGATGGCAGGATTTTAGTAGATGGACAAAAGTAAAGTATGACTGTGAGTTTCGGCCTCATGAGACTCTTGTATTGTTCAGGAAGAATTCTCTTTTATGCAGGTGTTAATTTGCTGATGCCTGGAGGACGGTTAGTAATTATCCACTCTATTACATACTACTGTGGAAGTGAACTTATGCCATCCTTCAATCCACCGTTGAATAATTTGCACATCAGTTTTAGTTGAGGTGCAGTTCTCTTTGCTTTCTTCTGGTAATTACAGAGAGCTTTATCAGTGTAAATATCTGAGGGCCCTACAGGCTTTTTTTACCGTCCTTTTCTTAATTACATTCTTTCTGAAATAATCAGAGACCGACCTGAAACATAAAGCCCTCACCTAAGGACTGGGGGAGGGAGCCATTGTCAGTGAGGAGTGTCAGAAACAGTGAGCATGGCCTAGAAGGATGCAGGAAGACAGTCCCAACCCTCAACCAATTCTGAGCTGCGGAGGTAATGGGCTGGGACCACTGTAACATTCCTCAAAAGCGCTCTTAACCACTCTAAAACTATCCTAACCCCCTTATAGGCAGCTCTAAACTATGTATCTCTTCCAGATTGCTTGAAAATCCTTTAATCAGCTCTGAAGAGCTGTAAGGACAGCTTACTGTAGCCACAGTAAGGCAATTGCCTCAAAATGTGTAATCTACACAGCTTTGAATGGTCTCTCAACTACTCTAAAACTCTTCTAATCAGTTCTAAGCTGCCCCAAAATAGTTCTAAATATCTCAAAGGACTTATTGCCATTCAGATGCCTTGAACTTCCTGTTAACATCTCTGAAAATCTCAGAAATAACTCAAATTCCTCCAAAGCTCCACAAAAGCAATCTAAGCAGTCCTGAGGAGCTGTAATATGCCCATAAAGAGTGCTAGGGTCCTCTAAACTACCCTAACATCCTTCTAAACCTGCTCTAAGCAACTTTCAGATTCATCTGATTATATCTAGACCCCTTCTATATTGATCTGAGAACCTCTGAATTTCATTTGAGTCTCTGCATTTCCTCCAAGGACTTTTTAAACTGCTTGGAGATGCTTTGAGATGCTCTAAAGCCCTTTGGACAGCTATGAAACACCTCAGATAGGCTCTTAAAGAGCTGAATTACACCCCCTAAATTGATAAATTAAATTAAAATGTATTTAATTTATTAATTAAATAATAGAAGTTAACTGTTTCTAAAGCACTCTAAAGTGTCACTAAATCAGCCTGGACTTCTTTAAACAGCTCCAGAATCAGTTATAAGCAATGGTGAGAAGCTATATATTCATCTAAAACCTCCACTCTGCCCCTCTGAAAACCCTCTAAATTGCAATAATCTAATCTAAATTCTCTTACACTGCTTTAAGCAATACTGTAACAGGACAAAATAGCTCTCAAAACCCTCTCGATCCCCATGCAACTGCTCTAGAACTCTTTTCTGCAGCTCCGAAACTTCTTTTCTAGAAATAACACTTCTCTTTGGGCCTTTAAAATTCAATGATGCTATCAGCTCCACATCCTTCTAAATGTATCTAACTCCTCTAAAGCCCCTACGGACTGTTCTGAGCTGCTCTAAGGACACCTGGAAAAGGGAGAAAAGTCTCCAAGAAATGAAAAATAGATGTGCTTTGTGACAACCTGCTAATGAAGCCAAACAGCACGGAAAGTGACCACTGAGCACTAATGGCCCACAGTGAGCATATTTTGGAGTGGAGGAGGAATACCAGAGACCCAACCACCTCTGAGATCGTTATGTGACCGCATGAAAAATGTGCTCCCGGAGCACGCAACAACAGGGGATTGTTCTGCAGGTTACACAAACATCAGTGAGTCTTCTGTGCCTGGGCAGAGTTCTTCAGGGTCTTTGGTGGTCGTTTGGGGAGGTGTCCCCCTACTCACTTTGATGTTTGGACACAGGATTTCTGAGGGCACCTAGTCTCCATCTGCATTCTGCTGATTGGTTACTGTGTTGGACTCGTGCCCCTGTCTCAAGGATGTTGCTCTTAGTATAGAAGTCTTGTGGTCAGGAAGGATGTTTATTTATTTGGCAGGCTGAGCAAGCTGGGCCTGTTCAGCCTGGAGAAGAAAAGGCGGATAGGAGACCTCAGTTGCAGCCTTCCAGTATTTAAAATGTGATTATAAACAGGAGGGGAATTGACTTTTTACGAGGGTAGACAGTGATAGGATAAGTGGGAATGGTTTTAAGCTCAAGGAGGGAAGATTTAGGTTGGATGCCAGGGGGAAGTTGTTTCCTATGGTGAGGTGCTGGAACAGCTGCCCAGAGAGGCTGTGGATGCCCCGTCCATCCCTGGAGGTGTTCAAGGCCAGGTTGGATGGGGCCCTGGGCAGCCTGGGCTGGTATGAAATGTGGAGGTTGGTGGCCCTGCATGTGGAGGGAGTGTTGGAACTTCATGATCCTTGAGGTCCCTTCCAACCCACACTGTTCTATGATTCTGTGATTGTCATGATAAGCAATTCGTATGGAAGTAATTATCGCTTTGAGCAAGCACCTTGATTAGGCAAAATGGCAGATATTTAAGTATATTGGTCTTATCATAGCATAGATCAGCAGTACATCTGGAAGTTTTATGCAGAACTATAAGTCTGAGCAAAACTGGCAGATAACTAGCTCTAAGGCATCAGCTGTAGGAAACCCAGATGATTGTGCTGGGAGGACAGATGGGGTGGTGATGTGCACTGCTGCCTTTCTCCATGGGACCCAGCCGCCGTGCTGCATGTGCCACACATCTGGTGAAACCGCATGTGGGGAAAGCAAACAAAAACCACATGGGCTGCGTGTGGGCAGTGGTTTTAGCACCCATCTGCCATTGTCTTCTGCTCATTTTTCAGTGCCACGACTTAGAATCGTAGAATTACTTAGTTTGGAAAAGACCCTTAAGATTATCAAGTCCAAGTGTCACCTAGCCCTGCTGCCAAGGCCACTGAACCACCACCCTCAGTGCCACGTCCCCGTGTCTCTACCTGCAGGGCTGGGGACCCCAGCCTTTCCACCAAGAAATTCTTCCCGATATCTAATCTAAACCTCACTGGGCACAGTTCGGGGCCGCTTCCACCTATCCGATCGCTTCTCACCCGAGAAAAAGAGATAGCTGCGCGGGACGATGAGGTTTTCCCTCAGCCTCCTCTTCTCCAAACCGAGCAGCCCCGCTTCCCTCAGCCGCTCCTCCTAACTCTCATTCTCCAGCCCCGAACCCCCGCGGCGGGGCGGGGCGAGGCGGAGCCGCCTCAGGGCCGCTCCGGAGCCGGCGGGGCGCTTCGGACGCTGGTTGCGGAGGTGAGGGGGCTGTGGGGCAGGGGGAGGGACGGACTGCGACACACCCGGCCCCAGCACCCTGTCGAAACCTGCTTCAGAACTTTGACGCTGTTCATAGCTGGAGTGAGTGGAGACAAAGCTTTAAAGATGGGCCACTGCTAATCGGTTATTATTTATATTATTTATTTTTCCCCGATCAGCTCGATGACGCCCAGAAAGAAGCTGGAGGGTCTGGTGGCTGCCACAGTCACCCCAATGACTCCTGATGGGTGAGCATCGCCTGGCACCTCTGCACGGTTGTGTCACGCCGTCAGCTCTCCCCTCGGGATTTCCTTTCTTATTTGGAATGGATGGCTTTGGGCTGCGATTTGGATCAGATCTCTGTGGGACGGGGAACTGCTGGGTGAGAGGCTGTCTGTCAGGGCTTGGAGGTTAGATCAGTCCTTAATCCATTTTTTCAGCTGTTTTTGTAGATGCAAACTAAATCACAGGAAATCGTGTTAGTATTGCAGTATTTTCAAACTCAGATCACACCCCTCATTAAAAAGAAGTCTTAGGAGCTAAGGAATAATGATCTAAATCTGACATCCTTTTACTCCTCTCTTGCCCCTAACGAATTCACACGTGCTTTTGCGTGCATACATGTGTCAGCAGAATTAGTCTAAACCAGAACAAAATATTGCAAGGACTGCAAAAATAATGTCAAATCAAAAGTTGAATTTCCGCCTTCCTCATGGAAATGATAAACAGATGTCGTCCTTACTGCAGTTTGATGTTGCAAGACTGAGTTGTTTGGAGTCAGCAAAGGGCCCTGAGCTTCTCTAGTGGGGGATGTGTCACGATCTCTATGTATTTTTGAGGAAGGTGGTTGTTATTTACTGATACAGTCCTCTGAAAGTGAGCCTTTACAATGTAAATGTACTGTAGAGCATGGTCTGAGATCAGTAAGGGAATTTAGGTACATTGCCGTCACAGCTTGCTTTCTTCCTTTAAAGAAAACTTATTTTCAGTGTTGTTTTTTATTACTGCTTGAATTTACTGCGAGGTGGTATTTGGAATGTGATCTGGGCCCTCTACCTGGGATGCTTGGCCCTCATAAGATACATCCTGTGAGAACTGGGGTAAATTATGAACCCAGTAAAGGTCCCAGAATCAAACGTCAGACTGTGGGGTCGGTCTGCATGCTTGGCAAATAGGAACAAGAATAAAACACTATGCACTGATAAACATTTTTTCTTTTTTTTTTTTTCTGGAGAGAAGACAAACCTATAAATCAATTTCTTCTGTTTGTCAAGGAAGTCTGTTGTTTTCTCCATCCTCTAATGAGAGAGAGGTCAAAGTCACATGCAGCAGGCTCTGTCTCACAGCCTGTGTCCTGTAGTTACAAGTGTAGTTTAACTATTGGCCAGCACGTGCACAAATACCTTTGGGCTCTCAAGAGCATTCTTGCTTCTCTTAACAGTCCAGAAGATTCAAGTGTGTCTCATTGCTTGTGGTATGTTAAACACATGCTGAAGGTATCATACCTTGGGGTAATCTGTGTGTGCACAGATGCAAAACTTGACAAATACATGATGACTTTATTTTTGATTACTGAATCTTAAGTTTAAAATTGTTGTAGGTAGACACGGTTGCTGAGACTCCTAAAGTTGCTATGGTTCCTTTCATTTCAGACAAATCAACCTTTCAGTGATTCACCAGTATGTGGATTACCTGGTAAGCAAGCAGAATGTGAAGAACATCTTTGGTAAGTTTTTTTTATTCCCCACAGGAAGTGCATAATGTTCCTTTTGCCTGGAGAGCAATCCTGTGCTGCCTAGCCTCGTAGGAGCTGGAATGGGAGGGAATATGGATATGAGGTCATCACTCATGTTTATATTCACCACTGGAGAGAGTGTAAACAATACTTAAAGATCTGGTTTTACCTACAGCCATTTCTGTGCAGGGTAAAATAAGTATTGCCTTCATACAGTGACTTCCCAGCAGTGATGGATAATACTGTATTTGAAAGAGAAAACTCAACTGAGTGATTCTTCCCTTTTCCTGAGTAGGATATAATCATCTGACTTAAAAAAAAGTTCACTCAGGAGTCCAGAAGTTCCAAAGGGTTCACCAAAGCCAAGTGAATTTCTGTAAGAGATGTGTGATACACTGTGTGATACAACAGCAGCTGCTGCTCTTTCTTGTTCCCCTCTCTGAGGGATGGCTAGATAGGTGACAGAGCATCTGATAAACCATTTCTGTTCATAGCCTTGTGTAGTTAAGTAAGCTGAAGTCAATGCTGAGATTTCTGTTCAAAATTTTAGTCAAAAGAGGTTCATAATGGAAACTGGAGCATGGCAGTGACTTCAGCAGCCTCAGTTTAATCTATTTTGTTTTAATTTTGTGACTGAGCATACTGACATTTCCTTGTTTCCATTAGGTGTTAAGCCTCAGATACGTGGTTCCACTTCATGACAGAATCACCAAATTTCAGTTCAGACTTTTTCCTTGTAGTGAAGGAGTGACTGTTCCCTTGCTGAGTATCCTTTCATGCACTTGACATTTTGCTGGGTGAAAGAGGTAGCAGCTGTTGGGGAGGACATGGGACAGTTTCAGCAGCTGGCTTTGTCTCCTTCCTCGTACAACTGCTGATGCTGAAGCATGCTTTAGACACAAGCATTTAGCGATGGCAACACTTTAAACTCCTTGCAGATGCTCGTGCAGACTGATGTTGTCTTAAAATGGATTGAGGGAAATATAATTCTGCTTAATATCATCAGAATTGTCAGTACTTTTCTTCAGCATAACCAATGTATTGGGCCAGATCTCAACAGCTATGTTGTGTTGTAACAGTGAATGGCACCACAGGAGAAGGCCTGTCCCTTAGCATCCAGGAGAGGAAGCAGTTGGCAGAAGAATGGATGTGCCAAGGGAAAGACAAGTGAGTGGCTGAGAGGGAGCCGGGAATTCCAGATCTCACGTTATGGTACTGGCATACCTGATTGCAAAGCCACATTTTGCTGATAACCTTTTTTTTTTTCTTTGAGTACTTTCGTTGTTGAGCTTTGTTCCCCAGCTCTTTTGTCATAGAAGCCTGCTTTTTTGTAGCTGCCAGATAGATAGTATCCATTTCCACTCAGCTCAGCCCTTGTGAGAGTCCTTTTTGCTACACCGAAGGGTGGACAGATAAAAGCCCTGGAAACTCCCTTGGCAGGAGCAGTCTTTTAATTTACCCCACTGAAGTTCTTAGCCTGTGTCACTTCCTAGTTTAAACTGGTTCCTTTTGGCAGATGGGCATTTTTTGTCGCTGCTGAAACTTGCTCAAACCTTCTGAATTTGTTGTTGTGCAGGCTGGATCATGTGATAATTCACGTGGGAGCTTTAAGTCTACTGGAGTCCCAAGAACTGGTGTGTATATGATAAGATTTCTTTCCACTATGTGCGTAATAAATATAAAAGCAGATGTACCTTCAGGTATTTATGATTCCTTCTTTTGTAGGCCAGACATGCAGCAGCCATAGGTGCTAGTGGCATTGCAGTAATAGCTCCCTCCTTCTTCAAACCCACAAACAAAGGTGAGTAGATGTGACTGCCAGACCTCCTGAGGCCCTTTTATGCTGTCCTCAAACCATTAACAGTGTTTCATGGCAAAAGCCAGCTCCAGTCCATGAGAACCAGTGATGATAATACCGCTCCTTGTAGAGCAAATTTGGCTTTCCTCTGAGCAATAGGGGTATTTTCAGCTGCTTGCAAGGTGTCTCTTCCAATTCCTACATTTTAAAGGATATTCTCTAAGGCTAAGCATTTGAGTTGTGCATTAATCCTCTCTCAGAGCTCTCCTGTGTGCTGTTTTCCTTCTTTGTAAAAATGCTGGTTATAATGTTTGCACATCTGTGATGTGCCTGGCACCATACAAAAGCAAAACCTAGGACAATCTTTTTAAAAATGGGAAGTACCAAATATTGCACAGCAAGAAGTGGGAGGGATGTCTTTCGAGAGAGTAGTCAGCTTGTCTGTCTTCTGAATAGTCAGTACTGAAGTCACACTTGGTCTGGGCTATGCTAGAAAGAATTCAGATCCATGATCACCCTCAGTGGACGCTGACCAACTCAATGAGCTGTAGATACAGCCACATCCACTGTCACTGAGGTGATGGGGTTTGTGACTTGGCATGCCTAGCAGGGTTATCTGCCCTTTGGTTCTCAAAACTTGGAAACTGAGTCTTTAGCTTTTAACATAACTAATGTAAGATTAAAAAACAAAAACAAAACACATATCACATGGAGGTTTGGAACAGAAACGTTTTGTTTGAGTGGTTTATGAATGGAATTGTACATATGAAAGCACCAAAAGAAACAGGAGTGGATTGCCAGGATGGCTGATATTAATGACCAAGGACACAATCAGCAGCAACTGAACTGGTAAAAACACAGAGGCACAAACAGTAGAAGACATTTGCAGTGATTGTAGTAGGATGACAGCAAGGTTTCAACACAGAGCTTTTTGGCATTCCTCTTCCTTCTAATGCCAATGGGAAGATTGCCTCAGAATTATGAAGGATGCAATGAAAAGATTCTCAGGAAGAAAGAATGTCAGCTGAAACCAGACTGGCTTAGAATAAATATGACCTTTCCTGAGGTCTTTCATTAAGGACAGTTACAATTTATTTTTGTGATGTGTTTATATGGTTTATATGTTATTGGCTATGTACGTTCCACAAGCTATGAATGGGTGTTCCACAGTCCCTGGCTGCTGTGAATTTGAACTTCCCTTCACTTGATTCTTTTCTTCCAGATGAACTCCTTGGTTTCTTACAGAAAGTTGCATCCGAAGCCCCTGCAGTTCCATTTTATTACTACCACATTCCAGCTCTGACGGGTGTAAAGAGTAAGTACTGCTTAGGCAGCTCTTCTTGAGCCCCTAAACTCATTTTCTTTTTCTTTTTGATCTTGTAAAAGGAATGTTTCAAAGTATTCAAAAATATGTTTTTAATGTAACTTTTATGTCGCTCAAATTGTCTTGTAGTTGTTTTAAAAGGTGTGTAGTTTACCAGGCTTAGGCCAAAAGTGGGTAATCTGTAAAATAAAAGTCTAACACTTAGGGAAGAGACAGGGAAATCTCCCAGAACAGGGCTGTGCTTCTTCATGTGTGGTTGCTGTTATGCACAGTTCGTGTTGAGGAGTTGCTGGATGGAATAAGAGAGCAGATCCCCACCTTCCAGGGTGTGAAGTTCAGCGACACAGACCTCTTGGACCTTGCACAGTGTATAAACAAGAATGAGAGAGAACAGTTCATGTTCCTCTATGGAGTAGATGAGGTAAGAGGCTCCTTTTAATGATTTATTATAAGGTATTCTCTTGTTTCAGCCTTGAGGAAAAAAATAACCCTGAACATACAGTGTCAGGTGGTTTTGCTGTCCTCCTCATTTTTTTTTTTTCTTTCCCCTTTTCTTTTGTTAATTGAAGTAAAAGTCTTAGAATCATAGGCTCATTAAAGTTGGAAAAGGTCTCTAAGATCATCTAGTCCAACCATCCACCTACCACCCATATTACCCACTGACCACATTCCTGTGGGCCAAGGTCCTACTCCCTTCCTGTATGTCCCGGGGGTTTCTCTCTTCTTGAAAGTGCATCTATGATTATTTATTTAACATTCTCTTTCTCCTCCTAAACTAGCAACTGTTGAGTGCACTGGCAATAGGGGCAAATGGAGCAGTTGGAAGGTCAGTATTGCTTAAACTTTTCCCTCTCCCACACACATCTTACTGTTACATCTTCCACTGTCGATGGGGTGTTTCTGTAACTGTCCTCTGTCACAGAGACAGAAGGTTCTTCAGGGTAAAGCTGCACGGTACAAAGCAGACAGACAAGATAGCATTGGGATAGTTTTATTATCTGGGATAAGGGCATAATATACCTTAATTATAGTTTAAGGGATTATTGCTGCAGTCCATAAGCAAACACAAAGGTTTCAGCATACTTTTTTTTGAAATAGGGAATCATTCCTATCTTCATTGTATTGGTAAGGAATCAAAACCCAAGCAGATTAAAGTCATTTACTTCAGTTCACATTATAGGTCTGTGGGCTCTTTGACAGTTTTTGCAGCTTGGTTTCTGATTTCACTTCTTCCTTTTGTACTGGGCTGCTGGGCTTCTTAAATGAATTTCTGTATGACACCCATGGTTTTGTGTAGACGATCCATTAAATGAATTACTATCTAGAATGTTAGTATTCAGAGCCTAATTATTTATTTTTTCTTATACATTTTAAAAACAATTCCCTTTTGAAAGAACTTGGCAGAGAAATCTGATCTCCAAACTACTTCACAGGCCTTGCATACTTCTGGTGCTTTTCTGTTAACAGCACTTAGCAGCAGGAAAGTAACAGGCATTCTGATAATGTCAGCAGAGAAAGCCAGCAGCTGCTTTGTTTCAGTGGTTCTAAGCTCTTATTCCACATTTTCTAACTTTGTGGCTTTATTAATTTAATGTACTTACTTTTTTTTTTTGACAGTACCTACAACTACCTAGGTAGGAAAACCAATCTGATGCTGCAAGCTTTTGCAAAGCCAGACCTTGCATTAGCACGGAAGTACCAGGTACAGTATTTTGCTGTCCCCACAGAGAGCACCCTTGTTTCTCCTCTACCTGCACTGGGATGTGCTCTGTGTCTTTTTGTCATCTGTGCCCTGACATGTATCCCTGCTAAAGCAAACTGCTTTCAGCTCCAGCCCCCTGCTTCCTAATCATAACATGAACATATACTTACCCTCAGCACGCTGGTTTCATTTGTGCAGAGCAAACAATGGCTTGGCCTTTTGCCTTGAGCAGGCCCCACAGTAACTAAAATTCTTGGCTAGGCATATTCTGATACCTTACAAGATGTAATACAGAAAACTCTCCCAAACGTGCTCTGCCCTGACCCCTCCTGGACTTGGGCTGCACGAAGGTTTTGGAGGAGTTGTGAGCACCAGTATGCAAACTCTACTCAATATCTTTATGTCTCACTGGGACATTTGATGCTTCCTTTTTTTTTTTTTTTTTTTTTTTTTTGCCTTAAAAGATATGTGGCTGCAGGATGAATGTAAAAAAGCCCAAACACCTAAAGAATGATCTGCTCTGGGAAATGTCTTCACTAGGCAGTGGATGTTCAGCTTGGTAAACCCCCCGGAGCCTGCCACAAGACTTACCACTATTTAAAGACTGCTTGCATTGAGGGGCAGCTTGAGCTTTAGTAATAGAACGAGTCTAATGTTTTTTTAGTATTTCACTCTCTCACCTATTCCAATGGAATAGAGTTATTGTTTCATATGGGCTGCCCAGGTGGCTGTAGTGGAAAAGCTAAGTCATGTCTTGAAGCAGTGATTGAGCACCTGGCAGGAAGGCAGGGCCAACACAGGGGAGCTCAGGTACAAGCAATGCACCTCATTTGAGGTTCCAGGCCTCATTTAAGGGTTGATGGTAGAGACAAGGCTGTCTTTTTGAGGGTCCTGCCTACCTGAAGCTTTTTGAAGGTAAGCAGGTTTCCTTTATTTCTGTGCCTATGACTGTTGCATCTGAGCAAATCCTCACTTACTGTTGCCTGGGACCTTGCTGCTCTGTTGTTGTTGCTGTGCTTTCCTCATGTTACAGTGACAAAAGACTTTTCTCAAAACAGTGTAGCAATTGTATAAAATGTAAATATCATTATGGTTCTATATGCTTCTGCTTCTTTAAATTTGAAGGAATGGTTAAACTGTTGTTTGTCTCTTTTAGTTTCTCACGGGGGAATTTCTCAGTTTTGTCATCAAACTAGGTAAGTTCTATACTGCCCATGTCTGTTGTTATATCTTAACATGCAGACTCAGTACTCCAGGGACGCTGTACCCTAAGAATTTCCTTCCTGAAAGATTTCACAATGAGAAACTGCTACTTATGCAGCTTCCTGAGTTGATAGCTGACCAGGCATCCCTGAGAGATCTCACTCTCACTTCCTTCTGTGAAATTTTACAGTTTCAAAGCTGTGATTTACTTTCCTTTCTTATCCTGACTGTGGTGTCTTTTTGTTTGTTGTTTTTTTTTTTAGTCTCCTAAAGCCCATTGGTAGTGTTTGTTAAGAGTCTCCTCTCCGGAATAGTGGTGCCCAAGTAGGGGAACGCAGCTCTCATACTTGTTTCTCGTGCTGCTCTGTAATTTAGAGTAACTGCTTGAGGATGTACAATGCCAAAGCATTTTCAGATTGTATTGATTTTTAGAAATTAAGTTTTAATGTGAAAAACAATTAAAACCAACTAAACCAGAGTCATGTAGAGGGGCTGAATAAGATATTTCAAAATGATCACCTGGTGAAAAGAACCATCCGCTGTGCTTTTGCTATACGTGTTTTATAAGAACTCCAATGAATCCAACTGAGCTTTCAGGTTAGAACTAAGAGGAAATGCATCATCATTTAGTCCTACAGGTTAAGAAGCAAACACCCAGAGTATATAGGGAGACTTGATGTACAGGCAGGTAGGCATCCTGAAGTTTCCCTTGGTAGTTGAAGCTACTGCCCTGCTGTCACCGTCACATACCAACAGGATGTTATCATTCCCAGGGCTCTATTTCACATGAATGCTCCATAGGTTGTGTCAGGGATAGCTGTGAGGCTGCAAATGTTGAAGACAGAGAAGCAATTGTCTAAGATGGTACTTCGATTTGATATCAGCAGGAGGGAAACAGTAGTAGTATAAGACATGTAATAACTAGGTATAGTTTTTGCTGTAATGTCTTTCCTGCCTGCAAGCACAATCATCTGTTTGTTATGCTGTTCTCACTTCTGGGAAGTGCTTCAAGCCCAGTTGATGCCATATTACACAGGAATTGTGTGCTGCTGCTTTTTGACTTCTGCACAGAGACTGGTATGTGTGAAATAACCTGATCTTGCTTTTGTCTGCACAGGTTTTGGGGTTGCACAGACAAAAGCTGTAATGACTTTTGTTTCTGGCATCCCCATGGGACCTCCACGGCTTCCGCTTGTTAGTGCCTCTGAGGAATTCATTGCCAAGGCCAAAGCAAAGCTGGAGAGCATTGTGTGGCCCGATGGTGACTGACTTCACTCCCACGTCGGTGTGCAGGGGCTCCTTTTCTGGGATTTGCTGTCACTTGGCATGCTCCTCATGCAGTGCCCTGGTTTGACTGGGATCTCCTTCAGGAAAATGAAAGTAATCGGTGTGGAAGGGCTGGCACACATGTAGCCAGCCACCTGCTCTTTAACTTCTCTCTGCTCCTCTGGAGCTCTGCACTGCCCGGCACTGGCTGCTATCATTAAACAAACAAATGAAAAAAAAGACAAAAACAAACAAACAAAAAAACCTGGTTTGTTCCAGCAGAGGGATCCTGACCTCCTTTTGTCTAGAAAGAAAGGTCTGTCTGCACTGCCCCAAACAGGAGGGGAATCAACTTTTTACAAGGGTAGGCAGTGATAGGACAAGTGATAGTGATAGGACCCTTTAACCTCAAGGAGGGTAAGTTTAGACTGGATGTCAGGAGGAAGCTCTTCACAGGGAGAGTGGTGAGGTGCTGGAACAGCCTGCTCAGAGAGCTCTGGATGCTCTGTTCTTGGGGGTGTTCAGGACCAGGTTGGATAGGACCCTGGGCAGCATCTGGTCTGCTACCAGATCTGGAGGTTGGTGGGCCTGTCTGTGGCAGGGGGGTTGGAATTTGGTGATCCTTTGTGTTCCTTCCAACCCAAGCCATTCTAGGACTCTGTTTTATCTCTCCCTGAGCGTCTCAAGCCCTGGGGTGTCACTGCTGTACCACAGCCTGCTCAGGCTGGTGTTCTGCTGTTTCTCACCAAGTCATTTGTACGTTGGTTGTGTCAAATCACTGTTTACCTCCTCTCATTGTCTTCGCACATCTTCACTTCCTGCAAAATTTAAAACAGAAGAACCTAAACCAACCCTTTTCTAAAATCTGTTGACTCTCCAATGAGTCATGGTCCTGCAGCCGTTTCCTTGTAGCCCAAATGTTTGGCACATCTATGACCCCTCACGACACAGCCCTGCCATGGGATAGGTGCTCTCCTGTGGTGGTAGAGCCTTCCCTGACCACTGCCCAGCTCCATTCTGCACCCTGGGTGGGAGGGTTCACTGTGGGTTGGCTGCTGGGCAGGGGGGCAGCTGATGTTGTGGGCCCTGGAGAGAAGTGAGCTCGATGTGTTGGGTGGGAGGGCGGTCCCTTTGGGGCTTTGTGACAAGACCCTCAGGTGGGGACCTGGGGTAATCCAGTGCAGGCATCTGGGAGCTCTAAGGGTGAGTGAGAAGTGAGCTAAACCACTTTGTCAGGCATGAAGCAGCCTGTTAAAGGCTGCTGCTGTGAAACTGGGTCATAAAGAACTACAGACGTCTGTTGAACTTATGCTGAAATGTATTAAATTCCACTGGGTTGGCATCTGCTCTGTGCGCTGCTGGGCTGATCCTGGCTCCTGGGGTCCTGCACGTGCTGCTGGGGAGCCAGGCTTTGCTGCTCTACAGGCAGAATAGCAGAGCTGCTGCACTGAAGCATCAGCTCTGTTGACGAAGCTGCTTGTTGCTAACTGTAATGACGTGGAGCAGCAGCAGAGGACGCACGAGCTCGCTCCTGACCTTGTCTGAGGGTTTGAGATGGAGGATGTGGGGAGTGAAGCTGTGCGGTTTGCTGCTGCCTTTTGGTAGAATCCCTGCCTACGCCTCTTCGTGTTGCTCAGTGAGGTTTTGCAGTACAATCCTACTCTCTGAGAACGAACTGCAGCGTTTCCTTTCATAGATACGAAGGATTTTCTGGCCACAACTTATACATGAAAAACCTATGGGAACGTGCATCTATCTGTCTGCATAGCTATATATATACACAGTGGTATGTGGTAATGTTTGGTAATGTTCTCTGGTACTTTTAGCAACTTAAATTTAGCACTTGTATATTACTTATTGGTTTTCAAGGCAATCTACCCTGCACCCACAGCAGATCAGCAGTTCTGTTTGCAGCTCTGGGTGAAAGGCTTGAACGACATTGCCAGGACAATTCCACCAGCAAGAGAGATGTGCAGAACAGCACTGCCAGAGACCTTGTCACTTGCTTGATTTGGCTGAATGACATGAAGATGGATGTGTTCATAAAGAGTCTTTTGGATTTTCCTGGATGTGAGATACAGCCCAGTGTTTGTTAGCTTTCTCTAGGTGCCAAAACAGTCAATTCTAGAATTGCTGAACTTCAGCTACTTGTTGGCTGGAAATCTTTTTATAGAGCACTCAGAAAAAGCCAAGTATTCAGCTCTTCTCTTTCTTTCAGTTTTTAACAGGGCTTTACTCCTGGGGATTATTACTAGGGCTTGCTGTTACATAATGATGAACGATCTCTCTAAGTACCTGAGCAGTCTTTTAGCTAAACAGTAAGAAGCTTTACCCTATACAAGCCTGCTGATAATTCCCTTCATTCTCTCTTCTGGTCAGAACTGGTTCAGGTTCTACAGAGGTAGAATCTCTTCCTCAACATTTGAGGCTGAAGTAGGTAAGGCTGTGAAAACTCCAATTTACAGGTACGTGAATATCATATATATATCCATGAAAATTTGAGTGTTTTAGCTTTTTGTTCCCCCTCAAAATAGCATGATTGTGCACAGAGAAAGCAGTTAGGAGTCCTTGTCCTTTTGTGGCAGAGGTGTGAACGACAAAATTGAGTTCATCCAGTGCTCCATCCTGGACTTCCTGGGGTAAGAAAAGGATAATTTTTCTGTGGGGACCATATTTTGTGCTGTTGTCCTTTTGTAGAATGAATTGTTGGTTTTCCATTTGTTTTGGGTTTGATAGAGGTTATGTACTTTATCTTGCAGTCTATCCATAGATTTTTCAGTATACTTTTCCTGTTTTTTGTAGGATGTTTTGTCTACCAGCACTGCTGAAACCAGCATCACCACCAATTATGTGGTCTATGTCATAGACTTCTGCGAGTGAGCCCTGCGAGTGAAATAGCTTTTTGTTTTGTAAATCCTGTCCTTTGGAATGCAAAAAAGGGTTTTCTGACCACACAGAACTGCTTTGTATTCCCACAATCCCAGAGCTGAATTTGAGGACTCTAGCTCACTCAAGACAGATTTGCATTGTCTTTAGCTGCTCAGCGGAGTTACAAACCGCCCTGGCATCTCAGTGGGCTGCTTTTGGTCATCTGCATTCATGCTGGCACCGTTCATGTGAGGTGTCACCGGGTCTCCATGCAGATTGTAAATATGAAGTGTGCCAAATGGGTGCTCCGAACACACAGCATGCAGGTGATGGAAGTTAGGAAGATTGTTGTAGTCTGCTGCAGATCCCATCTTGCTGTGCACGAGCTGTGAGCAAATTACACACAGGAATCTCACTAATCGCATTAGAATTTGGAGCGTTTTGAGAGAGTTCTGAGCATTTCATTCTGTATATAGCTTGGAGCACTGCTTTATAAATAGTGCTATGTTTGGTTTGCAAACAGATGGCTAAGTAGCCAAAGCTTAGCTAGTCAAGCAGGGATGGTTTGCTTCTTAAAAGCAGTGTGGCTGCAGGGAATAAAGTAAGAGCTGGTTTGGCAGGACTTAAGATGTTGAACATCAGATCTTCTGCTTCACTCTGTAACAGATAAAAAGTGAAGCTGTTCTCTGCTCACAGTAACATCAGTCTGAGCATCAAAAACTATTTTGCAGCAGCAGAAAAGAGCAGCAGGACACATGCGTGCTGGGTTTTGTTTCCATTTGTGTGACAGAACTCTTGAAAAGCAAGGCTGTGCCCTTCAGAATTAAAATAACCATGGAAAGTTCTCCAAGAACTGTTGCATGCTACTTCTGATCTAACTAGGAAAATAAAGTCAGGAAGCACAGACAGGAAATGCAGGAATTCTTGGCTATCTTGGTTCTTTTGCTTTAGAAACATATATGTGTTTATATGCTTTTACCCATAGTAGGAAGTCGAGAGAGAGTTCATGATCTTATTACTAAGAACTTTCCTGTGAACCTGAAGAATCTCTCAGGAGAAAATGTAATGCTGCTTGAGAACTGAGGCAGAAAAGAGCTTTGGAATGAGAGTAAGGCTCTCAAACATTCCTTCAGATGTTGCAAGCAGCTGGATTTTTCACATAACACGCAATTTTGTCATGAAGGTGGTAAAATCCAAGCAAGACAGATGTTCTTTTCCCTCCACCCCCATTCTGTGGTCAGGAACACTGCTGAACTGCTGCTCTAGCACCTTCCCTGCTGCTGAGGCTTCTGATTCCTCTACTGGCCAAACTGTTTCTCAGTCAGTAGAGCTGTGGAAATCTTTTTGCCAGCTGCAGAAGTCTACAGAGCTGTTACTCTCTGCTCCCCCTCATGAAACTTAGCAAGCCCCTTTCTCAGGGAACAGACAGAGCATAGCTGTGTTTGGGTGCTCAACTTCATGCATGTGTTTGGGCACTCAACTTCTAAAAGCATCAGTTGCTCCAAAACTTTCCTCACATTCTATGATTATTTCAGATTTAGTCTAGTAGATCTCATTCTAGTACAGTGTAGTAATTGTAAGTCAGAATGTTTGACAGTAGGCTACTTCATGATTTTAAGATTATCTTCCTGTAGAAAATACAGAAACAAAATATGCTAAATTCATGGTTCTGGGAAGGAGACTGTGTGTTTTGTGGATTTGTGCAGAGAAATATCAACTAAATCTGATACCATCTCAATGTCAAATCCGTTTGAGGTGTCCTGGAAGCTTTTCCAGCTGTCTGCTACTCAATGTGATCATTCCTATAAGTTCCTATTTCAACCAGCAAGCTAAGTGTCCATTGACAATACCATGCCAAAGAGAGATAAAGACTTCAGAACTCTCTAACAGGTCCCTGAGATGAGAACTGAGAAGAATGGAAGGCTAGAAGAATGTAGTGAGAGATGATGGAGTGGCTAGGAAGCAATATTTGCTTTGAGAGGCAACAGTTGATGCTGATGGAATGATCCATGTTGGTCATCAGAGAGCATGTTCAAAAAATGTGGGCTTTTTGGTTCTCTTCTCACTCCTGACTTAAACTCATATGATATCTGAGCTGTTTTGAACATCCTTTTGTGAAATACCCTCAGGAAACTCGTCGCTTTTTGACTAAACAATAGAACCACCACCTTTGGGTGCTGGGATGGAAACTGAACGCTCACTAAGTGGTACCACTGTTTGCTCACAAGGCTGTGTGTTAATGAAGGTGAGACTGAGTGATTTCCCATGTATAGTGATCACTTACAAACTGCTTTAACTTCTTTCTTGTAAGCTTGTTTCTGTAGTAGCATGCTGACCAAAAGAGCAGGGTGTTTTTTGGAGGCATTGTGTGGGTGGCAATGTCTTCTTGCAGCTGAAGAAATATTTGAATTCCCAGGTGGAGCATCTTTCCTTTAAGAAATTTGAGCCTTCGAACTTAAGGCTTGTTTTGTTACCAATGACTTTTGCTAGCTTCCAGCTTCCTGTTTTCCAGCTGTGGCACTGTTGTGTATTACACAGACACAGTCCAATGCCTAAGGCATTTACAGACCTACTATAAAGCCACTAAAAAGAGGCTTCTATATAATTACTGCTTTCCACAGTTTGTTAACCTGAGATTTCAATGTTTTGTTGAATAATTAAATCTCCAGTTTCTGAATGTGTGAGTGTCAGTATCCTCCTAAAACAGAAGAAATGGAGGTGGGAGTTAGGCAGTATGTCCAGTTTCTCCATATGGAAAATGAATAAGATGAAACAGAGAGGAGCATGACATTTATGCTTTGGATTTAAAGCAATGATCACAGACCTGAGCATTCTTTGTAAATGTCACTGAATAAGCATTTCGTAACAATTTAAAGTAATTTGAAGTATTTGTTTGATGGCTTTTATGGGGAAAAAATATGTAAAGAGACTACAGTGCTTCTGTATAGAAAAAAGACCAGAATTAAAAATAAAAATCTCTAGGATGTTCAAGTTTAATCATGGAATCATAGAATGGCTTGGATTGGAAAGGACCTCCAGGATCATAAAGCACCAACCTCCCTCCAACACGCAGGGCCACCAACCTCCACATTTCATACCAGCCCAGGCTGCCCCGGGCCCCATCCAACCTGGCCTTGAACACCTCCAGGGATGGACGGGGCATCCACAGCCTCTCTGGGCAGCTGTTCCAGCACCTCACCACTCTCATAGAGTAGTGACATCCAACCTCAGTCTTCCCTCCTTAATCTTCCCCTTAATGACTGTGACTTAAAACGTTAGTTCTCTTACTTTTCTTACAAGAAATGCTTTTCTTTAGAATTTTTAGACCAACAGATACTAAAAAATGCATTTGATAATGGCTAAGGAGTCCATTATCTATTTGGTTTCCCATTTCATTGCTGACACAATAGATGTAAGTTGTCTAATTACACTGAAGTTTCCCAAAGTATATGACGGCTCAGTCTGTAGAGCATGCAAACGGTATGTTAGCAATTTTCATTTGTTTCTTACGAGTTTCTGAAGATCACTTTTGAATAGGTTTTCTTTGGCATGCAGACTTGAGAGAGGGAAAGAGAACAGAAGGGAGCACAGAATTGTGAAGTGGAGTGTGATGATGGTGATCAAATCTCCACATGGAGATGGACCAAATCTGCAATCTCCATAACTTAGAAAGTTAAGGAAATCCAGGGGGTTCTTCCATCTGCAAAGGAAACAGCCACTGCTGCCGGTGGTTTCATAGCTTAAAGGTTGAACTCGAGTGAAAATGTTTGGATTATGGAGGGAGAGAAAGGAAGACAAATGCTGTGTATAACCTCACGGAAGGAAGACTTTATGTTGTTCTCTTTCTGATGAACAGAGGGTTTTGTCTTTTACCAATTGTACTGTTAGCTACAGATGACTGTCATGGGGCTGCTTTGGTTTTGTGAGGCAGAAATTGGGTTAGATGAATTTGATCAAATTTAGAGACTTAAAACACCTGCAATTAATAGTGTAAGAAAGGTTTGTACAGAAGCAAACTAAAAAGAAAAGGAAAAGTATGAAAGTGAATCAAATAGTGATTAGCTAATGGAAGAGGTAATAAAACATCCATGAGTATAAATACATCTGTATTCTTAGCTGACCTCAGAAAATCAGATAAGCATTATTGCCAACACTACACTTAAACATAGATGAGGTTCTATATTAATTCAGTCATTAAAATTTTGAATTTCTTATGTAAAGATTGCTTGGATAATTGTCTTTGATGGTAAGAGATCTTGTAGAGCTTCATGCCCTGAATTCCAGCAGTGAGCTGACATCTCTTGGAAGAATCCTACCAGCCTTCCCATTGAACCACTTGGCAAGATGATGACAACAGGATGTAATTTTAGTAAGTTTAATGGCTTTGTTCCTGTGAGCTCTTGAGCCTCTAGAAGTGCAATATACAAAAGAAAAAGCAGTACATCCAGATGAGCAATAAATGCTACAACTGGGAATAAAAGACTGAATATTGATGAGATCAGAAAATAAATAACTTTTTGTATAGGGAATAAAGTAGTTGTGAACTGAAAGGGTGAGTGGAGTGACTGAAACAGACCAGTAGAAGCTGAATATTTATGAAGCAAGAGTGGGACTACAAATACTAAGTGCAATGGTAAGGTAGAGATAGAGGGATAGGAATTTTGAGGCCTGTAGAGATAGAGGGATAGGAATTTTGGGACCTAGACAGGTCAAACAATGAATTCACGCATTTTATTTTGACAGAAGACCTATTGCTTTTAACTGTGATGGCTGTGGGGTCATTTTCACCCAAAGAAGATGGTGGAAAGACCTAGAGATGGTTGGAAGAAGATAGACAAAGTATGCAGCAAGTGAAAAAGCAGAGAAACACCACACTTGTGAACACAAAGAATTTAGCATGGCTTAAGAACGGTTTAGGTAGAAAAGGTGCAGCTGAAGGGTGTGTATTCAATCTGTCTTCCCAGAAAGTGAGATTCTATTTGGACATAGTGATTTAATGAGGGTAATTTTCATTCAGGGATGAGAAATAAACAGGATAATCTGAGATGAACACACAGGCAACGAAGTGTGCCTTAAAGAGCTTCTACTTTTACAGCTATGTTCAGGTGAAATTACAGTCCTGCCTCATTCTCATTATTGTCTACCAGACAAAAACAGACAAGCTGTGATGGCTGAGATGCAATACAGGGAGGTTTTGGAGGCTGAGGCTAGGCCAGAAGGATTGAAAATATGTTGATTGATTGTCCTTAGAGAGTAACCTCCCTGATTTACTGTTCTTCACTTGCTGCATCCGCAAAATGTCCTCTCTAAGTGCTGTGTTTCCTGGCTCCTTGGTATTAGCCTTAGGGAATCTGTGTGTTGTAAACACTGTGCTGTGTGTCTTATGATTTTTTACATTTGTGCCACAGCAGAGATGTGCAGTAATGTTTTATTCAATTACTCAGTTTTCTAAAAGTGCCATTTTAAAACTGTTTCTTAAAGATGACCAGGTTCTGAATTTGCTGCAGCTCCCTGCAGCCCAAGGAGCCTGCTTATTTAACTGACATGGCTGGCTGAATTCAGCAGATGCTTGTCTCTCTTAAAAAACAAAACAAAACAAACAAACAAACCAACCATTCCTTTAATATTATTTCTCTCTTTACACTGCTAGAATCATTATTGCATTTATCCTTAACCTTTTTTTTTTCCTTTGGGCAAGATGACATGAAACCAAGCCACCAGAGAATCTGGGGAAGTTCATAACAAACGAAGTAATGAAAACATTCTGACCTCCCCCAAACGATCTGTCTCCAAAACAAATGACAGGAAACACACTGTGGTACAGCACATTCTGGGCAAACCTCTCGCTTCTTGTTTTTGAAGAGCTTGGGAGAGAAAAATACTTCTTTGTAGTAGTATTTTTCAGCTTTTTGCTACCCATGAATTAATTGGAAACTGGTTGTAGAGCTGAAATGCTCTGAGTGCAGAGGTTATTTAAGAGTAGATGCCCATCTGCCAGCTGATTGAATCAGAAAACGCATTGATCCGGGATCCTAAACAACTGCTGTGCTGTCCTGCATGACCTGTGGATGCTAGCCAGTCTTCTGCTCTCTGTCAACAGAATGTTTGATGACTCAACCATTTAACAGCACTGGACCAGATAATCATCTGGATGTTGTAATATCCTTGCTTGCTTTTGAGGTCTACCCCAATGTCTGCTATCACAAGGAGAAAAGGAAAATTCGTACTGCTGAGGGGCATTACGTGCTCAGCCACACATCACCTGTCAGCAGACAGGACAGGAAGTGTCGGCCACCTTTCTTCATGGTTGGACAATCTTGGTTTGATGCTTGGGATTTCCACAGGTATAATTCAGAACTGTGGTGAGGCTTCACTTCTGCCCCAGCTTAGCCAGAACTTCAGTTTGCTTCTGTCGTCTGTGTAAAGTGAGCCTTCTAAATAGGCCACAAGACTTTTGAACTCAAAATACTATGCTTTGTTAAATCCAAGTACACATGGAATCTAAAAGCAATTAAGCTGTTGGCTTAAGAGTGACTAGGTAAGACTGGGGTGAAGGAATGATTTATTCGCAGCTCTCTTACTACCCACTGCATACAGAGAGCTCCTCTTTGAGGCTTGAATGTCTTGTTTTCTGCTATATTTGGCAGTCTCTGATCTGCAAGTTCATTGCTGTTTGTTATGGCCATTCTGCTGTGATTTCCATTCTGGAAGCTTCTCTCTTCTGAGCATGCAGCTTCTAGCATAGGATCAAATCTCTTTCCTGAAGACAAAAGTAATAGATTGTGCCCCCCACGCTGATGTGTGAAAGGAGGAGGGAGGCTGCAAACCCTAAATACTACTCTTCATGTCCTCTTTAAAATGAATGGCAGCAGCCCACGCAGCCAGCGCTGCTGTCTGTGGCTCAGTTGGATGGCTTGTTATTGTCAGAGTGCTCATTTCAAGTCCAAACTTAAGGCCTTGTTTCTACAAAATGGCAAAGTGGGCATCTTTGCATGGACATGTGGCAGCATTCAGATGTGCACATGTGAGACCCTCTTATCATCACTGCCCCAGCAATGCCAGAGGCGGGAAGATAACTCAGCACTGTCTCGGTCCTTTTTAGACTGACAAAAGATGAGATGGCTGTTGCAAAATGTCAGCTGCTTTCACCTTTCATAACTGTTTATACCTTTTAACAGCGAGTAGCTTTGAGCAGCTTTTTCTGTTTGCACTAATCAGTGCTGAATCCCTGTAAACAGCTGCCTGGTGTTTCAATTTGTTTGCATGCACATCATATCTAGATTTTGGTGTGTGCTTTCTCGTTTAGTTTTTGCTTTCCTACATAGCATACATCTTATGAAAGACATCTGAATGTCTCTTTTAAAAATATTTTTTATTTCCTAATTATTTTTAATTTCCCAAAATGAAGGTGAAGAGTTGCTGGAGTTCAGTTCACTGCTATGCTGAGGGCAGCCTGTAGTTTCTGAAATGCTGAGGTGCTGCATGCTTTTCGTTTACACCGTTTTGTATCTTGCTGTTTTGACACGAAGGATTAAGTGTTAGTGTTACCTAAGTATGCTAAATCTGCAAATCTAAGCAGGAGGATAGCTGATGTTTTAACAATATCATGTTGTAGGGAGCTGGCAAATTTGCCTCCTGAATTTCACGTCCCTTTCGTAACAAATCTAAAAGATGAGAATGTAGAGTACTGGATCAGTATGTTCTGCACACGATGGAAGACCAATCGCTGGAGTGTCTTCCATAACAGGTTATCTCCTGGAAGCTGCGATACATCTGATGTCATTCTTTCTGCTCTAGGATCAAACTGAGAGTGCCCCGCATTGGCTGCCTGTGTGTGCTGTGACGGAGATGTTCACTGTGGAAGCAGCTAAAAACCTGGAGATCATTTGGCAGCTGGACCCAGCAGATGAGCAAATGTGGCACGTGATCTATCAGATCCCCAGGCCGCCAGCAGCGGGCATCAACCTCATGGCTACTAATGGAAGGTGAGCTTGACGCTCTGGGGTGGGGGGCACTCAGCACCTCTGCCCCCAGGGACACCAATCCCCCAGACAGCAGCTTTGAGCTGTCAGCTCCCAGCTCACAGAGGCTGCAGAAGCCCAGAGCTAAAATCAGCGGGAGAGGTTTTTTCCAATGCGGAAAAGGAGCTTCAGGCTTTTGTCTGAGCATATGTGAAACTGTTGTATTCAGAGTCTGCTGTAGACAAATCACTGCCTGTTTCCACAGGAAGTATGAATGGCTCTCAGTAATAAAAGCTGTCATCGCCCGTTCCAAAACACAATGACTATAAAAGAAAAGATAATCTAGATTTATTTTGGGCAAACCTCTTCATCAATGTCTCTGGAAATAAAACAAAACTCTTGGCTGTGCTGGCACCCCTCTATTGCCCCTTGTTTACACATCCTATGAGGCAAAGGAAAATGAACACACCTGTGAGCTGTTGCTAGTTTAGGAATGAAATGAAGGACAGCTTGCTCCTCCCTGGAGACATTCAAAGCCAGGCTGGATGGGGCTGTGAGCAGCCTGTTCTGGTGGGAGGTGTCCCTGCCTATAGCAGGGGGTTGGAACTAGAAGGTCTCTTCCAACCCAAACCATTCTAAGATTATATGATTCTAAGTCTTTCCATTTTGACAAAAGAACTTGTTTCTTTCCTGAATTGCTTTCTTGCTGTTACCAGTCTGCCATTTCAGTTACCCAGCACAAATGCAGCTCTGTAAAATATTGTGCTTTAGGGGATTTACTGCAAGTTGTGTGATTTCTTTTTTTTTTTTTTTTTCTTAATAAAGAATTTGGTTTTCAAGCTTTATGGCCTGTACCTAAATTGTATTTAGATTTTGAAGCCATCTATTGTTAGCTTTGGTTGTAGGAAGTATAAGACATTCTGAAGGAATCTCGTCTAAAACCATTCTCTGCCAAACAAATTTCAAATTACAGAGCTTGGACTCAGTGGGGATTTTTCTTTGTTGTCTAATAAGCTGTGCAAATAGGCCCTGCTGCACTGGTTTTCTGTCTATGCCAGGCAGTACTTCGTTGCTTTGCAGCCACCCACTGTCCTGGTGCACGCTGCGTTGCACTTCACAGCGCAGCAGCTGACAAGCTCTTTTGCTGATTCAGATGGTGTGGGAACACGGGATACCTTTTTCAAGACTGGTGTGATGCTGCTTGCACCCAGCAAACCTCAAGTGAACTCGGAATTGTGAAGCGTGCCCTTTATCTGAGGCAGTGTTCATTTACATTCTCATTCTGAAATAGTCACACTTCATTATTCCAAAAACACGTGAAAAAGATTTTTTTTTCATTAGGATTCTTTGGATCTGTAGCCTGTGCATTCCAACTGGAGTGCTTATTCAGAACCAGTAATTCGCTGGATTTACAGGGATGTGGGGGGTATTTCAGTGTTTGAGAAACATCTAAAGCAAGTCCAGCATTTTTTGTATTTCTTATTAAGAGTTCTTAAAAACTATGTGAAGTTGAAGCACTGTTTTCCTTTAATCAAAACTGTTAAAAGCCAAATAACACATGGAGCTTAGATGTGTTGCTGTGAATTGCAAACGTCTTTGATGTCGTGTTTTAGTGTTCATCTCTGAACATAAGTCTTAAATTAATTTGGAACGTAGATCTTCTGCACTGTGTGGTGTGCTAAACTCCCCAGCCCTGTCTGTTGATGTAGACAAGTGTGTAGGCTGAAGAATGGTTGCTCATGGCTATCACTACTGCTGATGCCCAGCCTGGGGACTGGAACAGCCTTCCAAGAAACCAGAAGAGATGGACATTGAGAGATGTATTGTAGCATTAGCCACTTTCTCTTTTCACAGCTATATTTATTGTATCCAGACAAAACTTGCTTCTCTTGGTTTGTCCATCAAACTTTGTCTTATTCCAGTTGGCGTTATCACAAGTCTGGAAACCTGAAGCAGATGCACAATGTTCTTAAAGAGAAATAAACTTAGTAATTTCAGTATCAAGTTAACAGGTCTTAAAAATGATCTAATATCTGTTAAAGCTTTCAAATTTTCTCCCTAGCTGTTACTGATCTTCAGAAGAAGTCAGCATTTAAACAAGAGGCAGGAGATGAATGCAAGGTGAGCACAGAACAGCTGTGCAGAGCTAACTCAAGTGATGGCAAATACATTTGTTTTTTTTTTATACTCTGGCTGAACACAGTCCTGTGAACAGCAAAAGATATGCAGCCATGCTTTCTATTGTGATGAAGGAATTTAAGATCAGGTTTCAAGATTGCAAAAAAAAATCATGAATTTTTTTATTTATTTGCAGCTCCATTTTCAGTTGGCATAAATACATGATCTGTGAATCTTAAAGTGGAATGTATAGAGTTGCAATGCAGAATGTGATCGTGTCTTTTTACCAAGCTTTTGTAGGAGAGAAACATCCCTCTCTTCACAGCCACACTTTGTTTGTGTCACCACTTTTTGGCAGTGCATCCACTTGTGAACAACTGTAATCGAGATTGAAGACAAGAAGAGTAAGATTTCATCAGAAATCTCTGATGAGCATTCTGGTTAACTTTGTTTTATCTTTTATGAGGGCTGCTTTGAAAGTAATGCATCCTGTGGTACTACTTTGACCCATGACATCAGAAGCAGATGGTGGTGGTATGGCAATAGAGATTGAACCTTCTGCCAGTATCCCAGTATGTGTTGTTACTGTGTAACAGACGGCAGCAGAGGGGCAGCCTGACACAGTGGCATCTGACGTGGAGGTGCAGATGAAGGAAAGATGTACCATTGAATTCCTCCATGCAAAAAAAAAAAAAAAAAGGCATTTGTTGATAGTTGGTGAATGTTTATGGAGACCAAAGAGTGGATGTGAGCACAGTGAGGGGTGTGTGGTGCATTTCAACAGTGGCGACAGTGACAGGTGACAGTGGGTCACCTCTGCTGGTGTAGATTGTTACAAGCATGGCATGCAGGCTGTTGTTCATCACTGGTGATAATGCATGGCTAATGTTGCTGACTGTTGAAAAAGTGTTGAAAAATGGCTACCTGGAAGTACTTCCTGCATTCAAAGGCCATTGACAGTATTGGTTATGTGCAACAAAAAGGCAGGCAGCGCTGGCACACGCTAACTCTGAGATCGCCTTGTTCAAACTCTTCCTTTTTAAAGAAAAAAAGTCAAAAAAGGTAAAGTAAAAGATAAACTCAGAACCACCTTTTGCCAGATACGAGACCATACAACATGTAACCTGAACAAGGGTATATGTGCAAGTGAATGCATGCATTTAGATCCACGCTCACAGGCTTTGTATTGGTGAGGTGCAATTTACTGAAGCGTGATTTGAAAGTTTGTTGCTGCAAATTTCTGATTCAACCTTTCCCCTTATGGCAGTGCCACGTACAGTGCTGATGTTGACACTCTTTTGAGAAACAGAAGAAAAATCACAACAGGAGACTTTGAGGGGAGAGGCCCCACTTACTGTAGAGGCCATTATGGACTGATTTTGTGCTGAATTAAGGTATGTTTGGTTAAACTGATTTTTCACTGAATTCCTGTTGTACTGCATTCCAGTTGCACGGCATTTTTCCCTTGGTAGTAACTGATGAACTATACTCTGCTGCTTATTTTCACACATTGAAAGCTTTTAATCCAAGTAAACTTTTTCTTTCCTAGCCTTGACTAAGGATCACTGGTGAGGACTGCGTTAGAGCTGCAGTTCATAAAGATGGACATAAATTATAACAGACTGCAGTGGTAAGATCTAATCATAAGGTCTCCATTAACTGGGGTGTAAGATGATAGCCATGTATTCTCCCAGGAAAATGATCTTGTGGCCTCGCTCAAGTTACCAAGTTGCTGAGGTAGAGAACCCACAGGAAAATCTCTCAGCTATATGGAAAAAAATGAGCACCACTTCATAGATCTGAGCATACAAAAAAAAGAAAAATAAAAAATAAATTAAATTTTCATATTTCAGCACAATTTAAAAATTGCCTGCACCATCGTTTTCCTTAGCTGTTTGCAAAGGCTACTAACTCTTTCCAGATTCCAGGACTGCATTTTGGAAAAGGAATTCCAAGTTTTCCTCCCACTCTGAAAAACAATGACAACAAAAAAACATTCATAAAGGCTATGCTGGAACACAGATGAAGAATTGCAGTTTTTCCCAAGAACAACTGAGCTCCTGACCCATAGTCAGTGGCTGCTGTGTAATTACCCATCATTCCTCTTTCCTTTTCCTAAAGGAATTGATTACTCAGTGTAGACAACTTTTGTGGTTTTTTTTGTTTTGGCAGTGGGGTAAGGAGAGTAAGAGTTGTCCCAACTGCGTCAGCACTCTTTCCAATGACAGAAATTGAAAGACACACACTGCAAGAAGGAAATTCTCAGCCATCATGAGCTTAAAGAATAACTACATATTTGGTCACGTAGCTCCATGCCAACCAGTGCTGTGAGGGTAGTTGTTGCCCCCAAATTCCCAGCTAGGGATGGAGAACAAAAAGCTGAAAGTCCAATACTGCCTATGTAAAAAGAATACACAGTAGTACATAGGAGTTTAAGGAGGCTTCAACAGAAGAGTAAAAGATAACAATAATGGAAATGCTAAGTCATGGCATGAAGCAGTGATGGAGCACCTGGTGGGAAGGCAGGGCCAACCCAAGGGAGCTCAGGTGTATGCAATGAACCTGAGTGACCAGAAGGGATGGAGCCAGGATCCACCCCTTTTCTGACCTCATTTAAGGGTTGGCAGTGGAGACAGGGGTATCTTGCTGGAGATCGCTATCTAACTGAGGCCTTCTGAAGGTAAGCAGCTTCTTTCCTTTTTTTTCTGTGCCTTTGGTTGTTGCATTTGTGCAAATCCTCACTTAATGCAGCCTAGGACTTTGCTGCTCTGCTGTCACTGCTGTGCTTTCTGTTGTGTTACAATAACTCAATTTTTTTTTAATATTCTTTATTGTGAAGTATCTTAAAACATAATTCCTCTTTGACTGATTGCCTGTTTGCACACTGTTAGTACTGATAACTCCACAGCAATACCATTTTAGTTGATTATTCCTTTTGACTTAGGTTGTTCAAACTGACTGCTTGCTACATTCTAATACTACTCAATGTAAATTTTAACTGAAGTTAGACATTAAGATTCTGGGCTCTGACTCAACAGCTCAACCCAATCCCAAGATTCTGGGCTCTTTGAAAACAAGCTCTGACTTATAAACTATGCTTTTCTACTGCAGCTGCTCTTATAAAATTTATACAGATAATGCTGGAAATATAGATGTGATAACAAGCTTCTCCCTTTCCATCACATCTATCAAGAGGCCACGATGCTGTAAGGCATTGTTACCCCAACAGCGGATGTGCAGTTCACCTACAGCCTCTGAGGTTACTGCAGATACATGACAGGGTGGGTCTATTGTAGCAGTATTTAGTTACACATGTATGTATTTTTACGTAGAAGCTCTCCTCCATTCAGTGCACTAAGAAATCATAGAATCACTAAGGTTGGAAAAGACCTACAAGATCACCCAGTCTAACCATCCACCTATGACTGATGATGTTCCTGAAGACATCTTCTACTTGTAATTTATAGTTATCCTCCTCCTTTACCAGCTGGGATTTGGGGCAGGAAAGAATTTGAAGTTTTAAGATCCTCCGAAGCCCATAGTGTGGGAACTGTATGAACACAACCTACTGAGCATAAAACTGCTAGAAAATCTCCCGACGCTTTCCACCACATCATACTTTCCACCACAAAATTATCAGTATTGATTTTATTTATTTTTTTTTATAGCCTTTGAGTGACTCAGGAATCTGGCAGTGTCCGAAGTGTGAGCTTTGCTCATGCATCTGTAGTGGGTGGAAGGGCAGAGTTAAGAGACTTCTAGTCCTGTAGAAAAATTCTCTGGAAACAAACTTAAGGAACTGGGTTGGAAGAAAGAGCTCATCATTACCACGTGCTGATCAGACCTCCAAAATCTCAGGACAGCCATATATAAAAGTTAGAATTAAAACGTATGTTATCTATTAATACAGGAATACTTTATGATAAGAAGCAAACGTGTGTTTTTACTTTTCCATGCCATATACCAAATGGGACACGTTGCCCAACAAAATTCTGCTCTCCCTGTTAAAATACAAATTTCTAGCCATATCAAGTCGTAATGAAGGGATTTATGTGCTTATTTTCATGAGGAGAAAAGATTTTTCCCCTGACGTTGTCAGATGTCCCATGTGCTTTCAGACATTAGATTTAATCCAGTTTCACACGTGAAATGTACATACTGTACACTGTGCTATGTGTAAGGCATCTGCATGTTAGCTGGTGGATACATGATGAAAGCTGCAGTTTCAAAGTAGTTAACAGCTTCTAAGCAACCTGGAAAATGACCTCCAGATTTCTCATAAAAAAAAAAAAAAAAAAAAAAAACACATTTTTAATTTTTTTCTTTTTCATTGAATAATTTGGCTTTAATTCTTAATTCTAAAGTGATGACATGGAATGTTTGTCCCACATGCACCTCTGTGGCGGCATAATGCTGCTGGAGGTGGGAACCTGTAAAACACTGTTAAAACACCAATGGAAGCAGAAGAGTTGGGCTGCTAAACTTGTGACTGGAAAACCAATCGCAGCAGTGAATCCAGTCTGATTCTCTTACAAGGAGAAGACAAAGCAGGAGACTTCCAGGTGGTCTCTGACTCTGGTGCAAATTAGTTTATTAGGTAACTGTAATCTGGTATAATGGTGTTGTCCTCATCAGCAACAAACACAAAAAACCCACCCTGCTTGAATTTTGTGTATGAAAGGCAAAAGCTTTTTTTTCAAGACATGGGTTTTCAAGCCTTTTTCAAGTCCCATTTGAACAACCAGTACCACCACAGCTACAGCAATCCCAAATAAATCAACTCTGCCTTCCTCGTTCTCCAGTTTGTAACCTGAATCTCAAGGAGCCAGGACAGCTTCAGACAGCTCACTGATGCGCGCGCACACACACACACACCCTTTCCCCAACTCCCCCCCAAAACCATTCGGGTCAGTTGAGACAACAGATGAGCGGTAGCACCGGTGTTTATTGTATGACCTTTTACAGCTGCCATAAAATGGCTCATCCTCCTCCCCCAGGGCTGATGCAGACATTTAGTTTGGCGAGTGGTGCTGGCAGGCTGCTTGCATGAGTAGCCAGAAGCTCTGCAATAGTTTTGGACCAGAGCGTGACTTAGATCATAACTGCATAAAGCAATAGTCTACCATGAAGGAACAGGAAGAGAAGAAAGGGAAAATAACACTGCACATCATCTGTAGCAGCCAGTGTTCTTGCATGGGTGTGCACTTGAGCATGCCAGCCTGTGCTAACAGAAGCTGGATGGCTCTATCATGCTGGTAGAGAATGGGTAAGTGTGATGGAACAGCCAGTGGGTTATGCTTTGTGGCCAGAAAAGCACAGGCCAAAAGCAGACAGCAGTGCAGTGTCAGAATCATTATCTGCATCCTGCACAGATCCTTCCCACAGCTGAGAGAACAGTGCCCGTCAAAGAGCTACTACAGGACTTCCAACTTGGTCAGGCAGTGCCTTTGGGAGGCAGCCAGTCCTGTGAGCACCTCCATGTGACACCCCTGTGCTGGGAAGCAGCACGGCACTGAGCCAGTTGCCACAGAGGTTTGCTTCTAAAGGGCTTTCCGTGCTTTCTATAGGAGCTTCTGTGTTGGTGTGCTTACAGCCCAATAGATCACAAAGAAGCTGGCACCCATAGGAGAGCATAAATGTCAGGGAGACGTGGAAGGAGCAACATAAGTTGCTCTTGTTTTAATGTAAACTAGCACAAATCTTGCAGAGAGATGTTCCTTTGCAAATATGAATAACTGCTAAAAGTCAGCATCAAGCAGTGGAAGAGTGGAGCAGAACAGAAGTTTTCATAGTACTTTGTTCACAGCTTTTGGAATAAAGAGTGCCTTGACCTGCAACAACTGTCTCAATAACACTAGACATACCAGTAGAGCTGGAAGAGGCAATCTTGAGTTGGGCTGAAAGCAGAAAGTTATTGCATTTGTGTTTGCTTGGAAGCAGATCCTGCATGCTCACTCTTGGCAATAACACAACAACATTTCAGTGATCTGAAAGCTGTTTACACATATGATACTTTAATGCTATTAACAATAACAACTTAGAAATGAAGTTCACTGCACAAATGATTGCTCTTTGCTGAGAGTTGCGTGCACGGTCTTCATCGCTCTGCATGCCCTGGTGGCATCACCTACTCTGCTGTTAAGAGGCTTTGCAATTTGTGAAGTAAGTTGTGATAAGGTGAGAAGGTAAGATAAGGTGAGAAAAGCAAAGTCAAGTCATTATGAGAAAAGTATTCTTACAAATTACAGGCTGGCATCTTGTAATCTGTATTCGAAGAGTGAGGCATAAGAAGTGAAGCAGACAGGTAAGTGTGAAAGAATTGTCATGCTTTCAAAGCCTGAAGAGTTGGAGATTACTCTTTCTTCCCTCACTCATGACAAAGTTCAAAACTTATTGAAACTTAGAAAAATAGTTCTACCTTGTAGTCTTTCAGATTATATTTGCTTGACAAAAGTTCCAAAGAATGTAGTTGTCACATCAGCTCGTAGGCCAGAGAAGCTTCCTAGCAATGAGATGTGGATTTGCTCAAAATACATTTTCAGTTTCATTGCACTTTAGATTGAAGTTTTTTTTGTGTGTGATTACCAAAACGAAGCAAGCTTCTCAATAGTTCTGCCATGGGTACAGCTCCTCAGCTCCATCTGTGAATGATAAAATGGTGCAAAAGATGTTGCATACTTCACAACTTCCAAAGCCTTGGAATTCAACCCAGCATCATCCAGTCCTTCACCAGGGTTGTCTTCCAGCAAAGCTATGCAACAGCCCCATTCCTCCAAGGTATTACCAAGCAGTTCTCTAGGAATATTTTCAAAATAAGAAGAGAATGGTTCAGCAAAGAGGTGGAGACTCTGAGCTGAGATCTGAGGTTGTTTGCAAGGAGCCCAATTTAGACAAAGGCCATATGTCAAAGTGAATATTTGCATTACTATTGTCACACACACACTCAAAGAACTACAAAGACAGACGTTCTTGCGTGATCTTGCGATTCAATTCCATATGATGTTAAAGTAGAAAAATTGTATTTGTGAAAATAGCATCTTCATATCCTGCAATTCTTTCCAGGCAGAGTATTTTTGAGTCTCTGAGCAATATATGTTAAAAATAGTGGCTGCATCAGGTAGCTATAGTAAGCAACATCTACAAATAAGTGACAGAAGAGTACGTAAGCTGTCCCAAGTGATAGTGCCTGAATTTGCATTTTACCAGACGATGACTTCGCTCATTGCCCGTGACACATCAAAGCTGTCTAAACAATGCAAGTAGCTTGTCTAGCTTTCCCATGCTGTATACCTTATTCTGAGTTGCTTCCAGCTTCCATGAGCCTCCAGTTTTCAGGTCAAAGCTTGCCAGGTTCATTCTCTATAAAGTTGACCTTAAACTCTGAATGGGGGCTGTACGAAACAGATGAGAGGAAAAGGAGTTACTGTAGACTTAAATATGGGTATGGTTGTTGGTATTTTAAAAAACATTGGCAGGGCTGCCAATCACTGGATCAAGTGCTAGACCAGGCTGCTCAGGGGTCCATCCAACGAGGTCCCTGGGGCCACCAAGTCTTCTCCTCATCTGCCCTCATTTTAGCTTCCCTGCAGCAAGAACTCAAGAGAAACTTGTGGAATCGTCATTCATCATTTTATGTCAGGCTGAACAATTTCTTCATTGAGTTAAGTGCTACTTGTACGCTGGAACCTGAATAAATTGGCAACGCCAACTGCATGATGTGTGGAGAACAACGCAATGGGAGAACATCTGCTGTCCCAACAGTGACCTGGAAGGAAATCTGACAGTGAGTACTGGGGATCAGTATGAGAAAAATGCTGTGTTAGTGTCTGTTCACTTCAGGGGACTAACAAAGTTATCTGCTATCTCTCTGCGCTGTGGTCCTCACTCTTTTTTCTTTGCAAATCCAGATGTTGTTACGCTGAGGCTTGGCCATGCAGCTTCCAGTGACTGAATAGCTGTTATTGCCCCTTGTCCTGAAAGATGGAATTTGTGAAAACTGGGGGCTCCTGTATTGGAGATGAATACTAGAAGAAGCTTTCAAGCCTCTATGATGGAAACCTTCTGCAGCTTGGTCCTTTGTGACTGACAGTCTGAGATCCAGGCAGGGCAAGAAAAGTAAACCAAAGCAACTTCAATGATTCTCTCAGATTAGCACAAGCTAAAAAGAACTCTCAGCCATTAACTGGAGGCTTACTGCACTTTGAGGTACTGCGTGCAGAATTAGATTTATATTTGCTTAAATGAACTGGAAGTCCCATGGAGGGATCATAGAATCACAGAATCACCAAGGTTGGAAAAGACCTCTGAGAGCATCCAGTCCAACTGTCTGTCTACCTCCAGTATTTCCCACTAAACCATGTCTGTCAGTACAACAGTTCTAAACGTTTCTTGAATACTTCCAGGGACAGCAACTCCAACACCTCCCTGGGCAGCCCATTCCAGCACCTGACCACCCTCTTGGAGAAGAATTTTTTCCTAAAGTCCAACCCAAATCTCCCCTGGTACAACTTGAGGCCATTAACGATTCTGACTAAGTTAAAATCATTCCATCCAATTCAACCGCTGTGCAACCAGCTTCATTGTAAGAAGAAAGACAAACGAGCATATAGAGTTAATCAAAAAGTATACAGAGTTAATCAAAGTCTGGTGGTGACTGATAAAGCAGCAACATCCGGTAAGGTGCACTTCCCTAATAATGTGCACCACCCAGGGACACGTAATGGTTTAAAATATGTGAAAATGCAGAAGTGAAAACCATCTATAAAATGTCAGACACAATTTTTGAGCTCTGAGAGCTGCGCTGAAGCGTTGATGACAACGGTATGTTAGGTATGTATCACAACATAAAGATGTTTATGTTCCGGAGTGTTTTGTTTTCTTAACCTTTGAAGTTCAGCAGTTCGGGTGGCAAAGCCTTGGTAGCCACAAGGCCGTGGTTGAAAAGGAGTGTGAAAAGTATTTAGAGAACTCAAAGCCAAAAATGGGACCAACAAAAAAGTACATTTCTGGTTAAACAAGCACTGGGCAGTGACAATGAGGTGCTATTTTAAGGAGTATTCTGTGATTTAAAACAACACAGAAAATAGCTTCTAAGAAGCACGTTCTGGTATCTCAATCTAAAATGTCGTTTCAATGCTAATTGAAATTTAACAGTCTTTAACCAACAGGAATCTGGGATGAAACTTTGCCAGAAGATAGAAGCAGGGGAGACTGACGTTATCATCACACGAACTTGTAGCCTATGCTCTGTGCCTTCTCCCTGCCACAAACAATTATAATTTTTTTTAAAAATATTTAAACACGATAAATCTTGATTTTTAACTTCTTGCAGTGATTTTAAAATGACTTGCTAATAGCTGAGGGTAATTAACGCACCTGAAAGGAATTATTAGATAAATATTGTAGTTGATCTACTTAAGTACTTCTAATTGAATTAAATGCTCTGACATAATAATTTTATTGAGCTCCAAAATGAAAGACATGAATAACAGCTGAAGGGAGTACAAATTTCCTATTTAGAGACCTACCAAGAGGACACGATGTACAGGATGAACCATCTCTTAGCAATCACTGCTTTTTTCTGAACAACTGGCTGTCCCTTTCTGATATTTCCTGCTGAACTGAGTAGCAGAGATGAAAACGTGGGCAGAATGTTGAGGTTTCCAGCAAGCGAAATGCATTTACAACTTGTGGGGTTCTCTCATGAGGTTCCAACACCCTGCTTTATGGTTTTATTTTTTCAGAATAAATTTTTTGTCCCTGAGAAATCACTATGACTTAGAGTCATAGAATCACCAAGATTGGAAAAGAGTCACAAGGCCACCCAGTGCAAATTCCAGTCTTCTTGCAGACCAGAGAATGGTTGTGCACATTTCCTCTAAGGATTGCAAGATGTAAGACCTAGCACTTCAAAGAAACGTGACTTGCCCTCTTTAGCTGAAGATTTGGGAGAGTAAACACAGCCCTGCTCCAGCCTCCACATGCAGTATCTTCTTTCCCACCAGACCCTCCTGGGTCTTTGGGGATATTCTCTTGACTCAGATGAGGAAAGGAAGGGTGAGAAACCAGAGTGCCGGCTTTTCTCCCAGCTTTTTGCAGCAGGAACTGTGGGTGCTCTTCAGAAGCTGTGCAGACTTATCACTTTGTTTATCTAGCAGCAATAGAAGGTTTAGTCATTGTACAAAATATGGGAGAGTCGTAAATCCTGGCAGTCCAGAGTGAGAGAAAGGGAAAACAGGAAATACAAAGCAATATTACTCAGTAATGGTACTGTGTTATCCCGCCAAGATTGTCCATGTTTGATAGAGGGATGATCTTGTTGTCAAAAAAAAAAAAAGCTTTTAGTGTTCCTGCAAACATCTACCTTGAGATGGCTGCGTGACAAACCTCTTGCATTTGTGGTTCATTTATGCTTTGTAGCTTTGCAGGGACCTTGTGGGGTTTAATAGCTGTAAGTTCAGAAGATTGTGCTCATTCCAAGTATTTTTGTTTTGCTCCTTGGCTACGAGGGCTGCACAGATTTTCCCCGAATTGCTTTGTGTAATTATTGAGTCTTTTACGGCAGCATTTTTTAAGTGCAGGGAATGTGTCTTCTGTCCTCTTAGCTGGTCCTTGTCTGGCAGCACAGGGGAGAACACAGTGAGCTGGGGAGCGCTGAGAGCAGAGATGATACGTGCTGATAGACAGCAAGAACAGATGTAGGTAAGAACCCCAAAAGCAGCTCTGTGGGGTCAAACTCCTTGCAGCTCCTTGCCATTCACTGTGTACTCAGCTCTGCTTCAATTCATTTGGAGCTTCAGAGGGAGAACAAGCAATTGGGATGATCTGTGACTATCCAGATCCCAAAATTACATGCTGCTCTTACCACTGTCCAGTGGGACACCCAGATTTGGCTCTTCTGGCATGACAAATTAAATGCACAAATCTAACTGCAGCTTGCTAATCATGACAAGCTATTTATTTAGCAGGAGACACACAAGCTCTGCTCATCCAAAATCAGTCATCTGAAAGATCAGCCTCCCCAGTGGACCGTGCCCTCCATTGGTCTGACCTTGGCTGTTTGGGAATCATGGATTTCTGGGATGAGGCTTCACAATGTTTGGTTTGGAGGAGCACTGGAACTGTGCTTAAAAAACATGAAGCTTACAATGGCAAGCTATTAAAAGATGAGTTGAATTAGGGTTGGTGTCAGCGTCCATCTTCTGTGACCAAAGGAAGGACAACAAAATAACTTTATACTATTAATAAAACAATGATCATGAGAAGACCCAGACTGGCAGACAGCACTATGAAAAAAAAGCACAAAAAAACAGGTTGTGACTATAAACAACAGATAAGAACCAACTGGGAAGAAAACGTCAGCCTAGAGCCACTGGCAAAAGTACTTATCCAGCTGTGTATTGCAAAAAATCTTGGGAATTTTGCTGGGAGCTCAGGAAGGATGTTTGTTAAACAACTTTTCTGTGGTCACACAGAACATCCTTCATGGTGAGATACCCAGGACCAGCCCCAGAACTCAGGCTGTGTGCTGGGATAGTGCTTTATCAGGCTTGGAAGATAATTCTAGAGGGAACGTTTTACAGTCAGGGTAAGCAGCTCCAGCTCATGCCTGTGAAGGATTTGCATAGCTGGGCAAGTCTCTGCTCTTTGCAGTATGCGGTGCTGGAATTTCTTGGTGGCAGAGTTGACATCAGTGGACCCAGTAGTGCAAAGACACTGAGCCTGAGGTTGTTCTTGGTGAATATGCAGCTACATATTAGAGATGTAATACCGTACAGAGATATGTTAACAGTGCCTTTGATGCCCTTCCATCCTTGCAGGCTTTGAGACTGTGTGAGCTACAAGGGAAGGAGCTTGAGGAACGCTTCATCTCCAAGAAGTTCTCTGTGTGTTTCAAGGCTGAGTTCACCCATCCACGCATGCGCTTATCCCAAGGCCATGCTATCAGTGGGCTTTACAGAGGCGGCAGCTCACTGTGGTGCAGGACAGGCAAGTGGAGGTCTCAGAGGAGGAAAGGAGCATAGTAAGGGCTATCTTGGATCCTCCTGGGCTCTCTTCCGCTGCCTAACGTAGGCTGCAAAAGGTTGCTGCTTAATTACAGCACAAGGCTACAGCACAGGTTAAAAAGATGGGGTAAAAATAAAAGGTAAACATCCCACGTGCTGGGAAACAGAGATTATGATCAGTGCCTCCACTAGACAGCCATTAGGCAAAAGGATGGGCTGTGTTAGAAGAGGAGAAGCTGCACAGTCCATTCACGTTTCAGCTTTTTCATGTTGGCACATTTCTTTGCCACATTACTGTCTTAAGAAGAGAGGAAGCATTCCAGGCCTGCTCCAGAAAAGAGATAACAAAATCGCAGGGACTCGTAAGAAGCAGATTTTACTTCCCAGAAGCATGCTCAGAGGTGTATTTACTCACCTTGCTGTAGCTGCTGCACAGGATTAATTGGGATGATCAGCAAAAGAGTGACTGGAAAGTCAGACGTAAAGAAAGCGCTTTTTGAAGCCATTTCTGCTTTCACAGCTATTGGTTTTCTATTTGGTTTTCTTCATAAGATTGCTGTGACTGCTTTTCTTTGATAGACAGAAACCTCACAGTTCTCTGATGTATTCTTGGCTTTTACAACTGCTGGACGAAGGTTGGACTGAAACCACAGCCATTTACCAAAACAATTCACAGGACTCCTCTACGCAGGATGGCTTTAAACCATAATGGAATATAGAATTGTGTTGCTTGTGCCCTTTTGGCGTTAGTTTTAAGTTCCACTTGTTGCATTACCAGTCTGTGCCGTCCCCACAGAAATAAAAGGTGAGGCGCTTTGGCTCTGCTACCACTTTTCTCTCCAGTTTCAGCCATGCCCACCCACAGAAATTAAGCACTGCCTTCGCTGCCATGAGGTGAAACGGGATGGAAATCAGCCGGTGTGCAGTGGTGGCCCCGCATTGCGGTCTGGGGGGCAGAGCGTCTGATGGGCCGTGGTGCGTTAATGTCAGTGGGATTGCGAAGCAAAGGGGACTGTGGGGAGGATGCTTTGATGGGCTCAGGGGTTCCAGTCATGTAGGGCACTAAAAGTAAAACACGGGTTGTGCATTTTAGACAGGTGCGAGCTTAATGAATGAAACTTGGCTCGGCTGAATGTGAGCCAGCAGTGTGCTCAGGTGGCCAAGAAGGCCAGTGGCATCCTGGCTTGCATCAGGAAGTTGCCAGCAGGGACAGGGAGGCGATTGTCCCCCTGTACTCGGCTCTGGTGAGGCTGCACCTCAAGTACTGTGTCCAGTTTTGGGCCCCTCGCTGCAAGAAAGACATTGAGGCCCTGGAGCAGATTCAAAGAAGGGCGACAAAGCTGGTGAGGGGTCTGGAGCACAGGACTGATGAGGAGCAGCTGAAGGAGCCAGGAATGTTCAGTCTGGAGGAGGCTCAGGGGAAACCTCACTGCTGTCTGTAACTACCTGAAGGGAGTTGTGAGCTGGGGGTCGGCTTCTTCTCTTGTGTGACAGTGATAGAACTATAGAGAATGGCTTCAAGCTGCGCCAGGGAAGATTTAGGCTGGATGTTAGGAAATACTGCTTTTCTGAAAGAGTGGTCATGCAGTGGAATGGGCTGCCCGGGGAGGTGGTGGAGTCACCGAGCCTGGAGGTGTTCAAGGAACGTTTGGATGTTGTGTGGAGGGACGTGGTTTAGTGAGAACTATTGGTGATGGGTGGATGGTTGGACTGGACATCTTGAATGTCTTTTCCAACCTTGGTGATTCTGTGATTTTGGAATATCCTGTGAAACGTGACTTGCTACAGAGGTGCGTAGCAAACTGCAGGCAGGAGCATGGGTTGGACGCCCACACCAAACACCACAGAAGACCACAGAACCGCGCGATCACAGCCCGCTTTCACTCCGCTCCGCCCGCTTCCCACGACCCCCACCCCTGACCTGCCCGCCCCCAACCCCAGCCCGCGGTGGGCCCCACCGGCACGGCCGCTTTAAGGCCGCCCCGCGGCGCATTCCACCCGGCCGGGCGGGGGGTGCCGCTCCCGGCCTGCCCCGCGCCGCCAGCCCCGCCCGCCGCGGCGCGGCCCGGCCCAGCGGCACAGCAGCCCCGCACGGCCGCGATCCGCAGCGGCCCCGGGCCGAGCCATGGGCGGCGTTGGCGGGCGGCGGGCGCTGCCGCGGGCGCTGGCGCTGCTGACCGTGCTGGCGCTGCCCCGCGGCGGCGGCGCTGCGATGGACGAGTGCTTGGAGGAGCGGAGCGGGCGGCCGCAGCGTTGCATGCCCGAGTTCGTCAACGCCGCTTTCAACGCCACGGTGGTGGCCACCAACACGTGCGGCACGCCGGCCGAGGAGTACTGCGTGCAGACCGGCGTCACCGGCGTCACCCAGTCGTGCCACCTGTGCGACGCCTCTCAGCCCCACCTGCGGCACGGCGCCTCCTTCCTCACCGACTACAACAGTCAGGCCGACAGCACCTGGTGGCAGAGCCAGAGCATGCTGGCCGGCGTACAGCACCCCGCCGCCGTCAACCTCACCCTGCACCTCGGTACGGGCCGTGCGGGGAGCGGGGATGGGAAGGAGGGGAGGAAGGGGAGCCGCTCCGCGGGACGCCGCTCTCGGCCGCAGGGTTGCGGCTGCTGTGTGGGGCGGGGCTCGGTGGTCGCTTTGGTCCCTTCCAGCTCGGGGTTCGGGAACACGTGCGATGGAAGCCGCGCCGTACGCGGTGCGATGCCCGTCGTTGTGCGGGTTGGGCTGGGAGCACGTGGCTTCGTAGAATGGGCTGGGTTGAAAAGGACCGCAGTGCTCTTCCAGTTCCAACCCCTTGCTGTGCGGGGTCCCAAGCACCCGACCAGGCTGCCCAGAGCCACATCCCGCCTACACGTCCTCGTGCTTTCCTTCTGCTCTTCTTAGAAGTGGCCCCTCGATTCCCCATTTCTAGCTCCTTTGCCTGAATTCCTTCTCACTGAGACTTCACCGCAGCGATCCTTCCTTTTCCCAGTACTGCCCCGTACCCCCGTGGCTGAGCAGTGGGGCGGTGGGGACATGCCGACCCCCGGTGCAGCAAAACAGAGCTGTGTGGGAGGGACGCTCCTTCAAACAGTGGCAGAAAAGGACACAAAGCAGCACAACATGTCTTTGGAGTGCGGCACTTCTGGGCAGGGGGCTGGATTTTCTCAGGCTCGTCGTTTTTTTCAGAGCAGATCCTCCCTTTGCCTTCCCGCAGCTCTGTTGCTCTTACTATCCCTGTGTTGCACGTATCCACCTCTTCTTGGGCTGTTACACGTGTCCCCCCACCCCCTGCCTGGACCTGGCCTGGTGTCTGTGCATTGCAGCCTTTCCTGGGCAAGGACACAGCTGCTGCCATCCTAACAGAGGCATGGGCAACGCTGTGGGCCTGTGGCTGTGGGTCCAAGCACTGCTGCTTGTGGCTCTTTGGGCATCTCTGTCTTGGAGCTGCCAGTTGTTGGGAGAGATGGACTGCAGGGCTCCTCCACCCCTCTGTCAGCGCTCATCCCTTTATTTGGCTGCGAGGAGAGCGGCGGTGCTGGTTATATACGTGGTCTGCAGAGAGCAGCTCAGAGCACGACTGCCATTTGAAGGCATTTACAAGGAAACTCAGGCAAGGAGCCAGCTCTTGTGCTCAGCTCCAGTCTGATTTGCTGGTTGTTTGCAGCAGAAGAGAATTTTTTTTTTTCTTTAAGAGCAAAAAGGCAGCTTTTTGTAAAGGGTGGGCTGCAGAACGTGCCTAACGGAAGCATTCAGCACATGCAACAGGATGCAGGGAGTTGCTGTGTGCCATTATTGAGGCTGCTGGGTGCCCTGTTGGAGCTCAGCAGGGGGCTGCTCTGTGTCTTCTTAGGAAACAGCTGAGAGCATGGGAGGGTTTGTGTGAGCAGATAAAGCTTCACATCTCTGCTGAGTGGTGATTGATTTGTGGGGAGAGTGCTTAAGTTGGCACTACAGGGCTCTGTATGCTGGTGGAAGCGCCCTGCAGGATCTGTGTGACTCTCAAACTGCCATGCAGGGGTGGGCTCAACCACCTTGCCACCTTCCTTCTGTAAAGGCTGCTTATTACCCAGCACCATTCACCTGGGAGAGCCCTGCTGCTCCTGCACTTGGTTGGGAAATCCCTGGGAGCTGTGCTGGGGCTGGGCTGGGAGTGGCTCGCCCAGCGCCCAGTGCCTGCACTGCGGTATTTGTGGAGCCCCGAGGGGACTCTATTTTAGTTGGTCTCACAAAGGCTTGATTTACATTTTGCAGGTTTCAACATGAGCGAGGAGATCAGGCTTCGCGTGGCCAGCAGTTGTTCAGTGCAGTTATATAAAGCAGATTTAAAGCTCTTTATCGCTTCCCTCATACCCTTTAAATTCCTAAGTTTTCTCCCATTCCTCTGTCCTGCACCCTTTTGGGATGCTAATGCCACTGAGGCATTCAGGAACGCTATCCATGGCGGCACACTTATTTTAGGGGATGGAGAGAGCTGGAGTTGGCTGGTGGTTTAGCTGCAGAAATAGCTGCTGTTTGTGCTCGCCCTGTGTCACAGGAAGGGTTCATCACTGGCCTTGATACAGCCAGTGACTGCTTTTGCAGTCCGAAATCTTGGGAACTTTGCAGCTCGGAACTCTTTGCTTAATGAACAACGTGTGGTTTGCTCAGTAGCGTTTCCCTCGCAAGTAGCAGCCCTGGCTGCTGCTTTATGGGGGGATGAATGTGGATCTGCAGGCAGCACGGGGACAGCCACCTCCATGCTGGGGGGAATGGGCCTCTGGTTCCCAGGGTTTGTAAACTGCGGTGTAAAGAATGTAAATGCAAGCCTGGGAATGTTGTCTGACAGCGTGCAGCTCTGTGGTGCGGTACAGCTCTGTCCGTGGGGAAAGATACATCCCTCACTGGTTGCTTCAGAAAATACCACGGGTTTTATAATGTCCCTGTAAACAGTGGAAATCTCTGTTGTCCTGCTGCACAAACAGGAACGGGTTGGTTTTTCCCCCAGGTGCTTTACAGGCTCGAGGTGAGGGGCGAGTGGTGGTGCCTGTGCTGAGGGCTGTGGTGTTACCACCTGCTCTGTGTGTGAGACCCTGTGAAGAGCACGACCCATTGACATCCATTTGCAAGGAGTGTCCTTGGGATGGCCCGTAGCATCCTTTGAGTGACCTGACTTTGAGAGGACATCTTTGCTATATGCTGGAGTAGCCTATGAGAACATACGCGTTGTGAATTGTGTTTGCTGACTGCTTTCCATGCTGTGGGGCTGGGATGTGGGCTGGAGCTGCTCTTAGCCTTGTGGGAGTGGGCTTTGGGGTTGAAGCATACATTCTGGCTTTTTCCTCTGCAGAAGCTTGGAAAATGGTGAAAACCCATCAACTGTAAAAAGGAGCAGAAGTTATATTTAAATTGAAATACCAATACCACCCGACCTTGTTCTTTAATCTCTTTTCCACTGGTCCAGGCCTGATTGAGAGATCATCTAAAAACAACAGAAGCCCATGAAATGTGGTGATCTTCACCATTTTGTTTGGAAACTGGGTGGCACAGCTTTCCTGGTTTCCATGCTTCTACTTGTTGTAGATATTCCGATGCGATAGTCATCAAAGAGATGCTTCCAGTGCTAATCACGCCTGCAGTCCTGACACAACACAGCTGTGTTCGCTCGTGGAGAATTTAAAAATTTCCTCTTTCAGAAATAGTATCCAAAAACTATTGTTGGATTTTGTCTGTGTGTGTGTGTGTGTAGGTGAGCCAGTATGGTCTTGTATATAGGAAGCAGAACTCCAGATAGATGTAGGATCTTTGTACGTTTGGTTTTGGGCACTGTTGTTTCTGTGGGGGAAGGTGTTTGTAGGGATGGTACGTTGAGATTTTGCAAAGACGCAGGATTTGTGGATTCCTGTGGATTTCTGTAGCATTCTGGTCTTTGTTGCAGAAAGAAATGCTTGGAGAGTTGATTATTCTTATTGGGTGCCATGTTCTACTGAACCAAACCACCAGGACCTGCTGGGTAGGGATGGTTGTTCTCAGCACCTCGGTGGCTCGCGTGTGGCTGTCCGCAGGGCCTGCTCCCTCCCGTGCTGCAAGGCCGAGTGAGCTCTGTAGAGCCTCAAGCTGGCAGCACTCCAGTTCTCAGCAAATTGCTTTCATCTTGTGATTTATTTTCTCAAGGTCTGCTTTCTGGCCCAGCCTCCATTGGCCCTGAGGAGCCGCGGTTTCTGCCGTGCGCCCAGCACCTGGCACATGGCTGCAGGGTGCTGCTGAGGGGGGGTAAAGTGCCTGCATCCAGACATGTTCTCTTGTTAAAACAGATTTTCTTTCCTTTCCTCATGTGTTCCATTTTGGTAGTGCAGTTTTGGAAAGAAAAATCTTGATAATTCTCTTTGAATTAAGAGGTGATGTTGCTCGTCAGGGGCTTTAAGCTAATGGTTGCACTTGGTCTCTTAAAGAGGGAATAAATGGGCCCATTTCTTCATGCATGTGTGGGGTGGGTGTCTGAGCTCGGTGATGCTGGTGACCTCATGGAGACCGATGGAACGGAGAATTGCTCCCTTCTGGAAAAGCCTTTCTTGATTTCACAGTGTTCAGTAGGCTTGCTTGACTTAAGTAACGTTTTTTCTTTTCTGAGGACTTCTGCAGTCCGTTTCTGGTTCTGCCAGTTATTTATAGGCCTTCCATCTGCAGCCCTTGACGTGTCCATCCTGTGGGATTTGGCTGTGGGACGCTCTTCCCGGCAGCTCCTGGGCCGGGTGAGGGGCAGCCCTCGGTGGGGCCGCACCGCCTCCATCTTTGGACACGGCCGATATGTGGGTGTGCAGCCTGCATTGCTTGCCTCTCCTTTCTCAGCTCCCTGCATCCTGCCTGGGCCCTCTTGTTCCCATATCCCTGCTCCTGGCGTGTGTGGGCTGTGTGTTTGGGGTCCCTCCCCGATCTCCTGTTGGTGAAGGGCAGCCTTCTTCCTGCTGCCCTCTCAAGGTTTCGGCAAAGGGATGCCGGGATGGAGATCCATGGGCGCTCTGCAGGCATGAGTTAACTGATTAAATTACCAGCATTACACGAGTCACTGCTCTTCTGCTTTCTAAGCAGAGTGACTCTGCGTGCATCTGTACGTACACACCACCTCTTTCTCATCCTGAATGGCTGTTGGCCCTGGTAGTTTGTCAGTCTGAACACATGGAGCTGCGTGTTGCGGTGCCAGAGCCCTTGACTTCTGGTTAGGATGGAGGCCTGTGGTTTGGGGAAGGGCTTCTGTTTCAAATACCTCAAGGAAACAATGGCACAGCTTGCAGAAAGACACATCTGGTACTGCAGTGCTCTTAATTGTGTCAGTTACTATCTTAAAAAGGTGGTGATGGTCCTAAAAAAGTGAAATTTCTCCATTCCTAGATGCATTTCTTTGCACTGGGGAACTGGGGCTACTGGATGAAGACAAGGCATTTGGAAGCTGCCTCAATAGATGATGCGTTTAAAGAGACTCTTACTGACCCTGTGTTCCCTGGCATCTCTGTGAAGGCCTTGTTGTGTCACCGTGAGTCACCACAGACATCTCCACTCCCCTGGGAGCTGCCAGCAGCTGGCCCAGAGCCTCCAGGCTGAGACTGGGTTACTCATAGAGCCAGGACAGCAGGGAGGAGTGGTGCTTGTGGCACTGCTGGCTGCTGGGCAGCTTCATGTGTGTTCTCAGTACGTCCATCCCCAGCAGGATGCAGGAGCTGTGTAAGGGTATAGCATCACAGAATCACCAAGGTTGGAGAAGACCTCCAAGGTCATCTGGTCTAGCCATCTGCTTATCACCAATACTTCCCACTAAACCATGTCCCTCAGTACAACATCTAAACATGTCCATGGCAGCGTGGAAGATGCTAGAAATCCTGAACTCAGAGGAGCCTTTGGGGTCCCTCTCAACCTAAGCCATTCTGTGACTCTGAAAGTTGGTAAGGAACATCAGATTTCCCCAAATCAGATTGGTTGAGTTTCTGTGCTTTGTGCAAACAAAAGCATGACAACAATGATGCTGCTTTTTGATAACAAATGATATTTTGCTCCTGATTCATTCTACCTTACAGTGGTGCCTGAGAAGTGGAGCAGCTGTGATGCAGCTGCAGCGCTGGCTGTTTGTGAGCATGGGGTTGCAGCCCTTGTGAGGTGCTCAGACAAGTCAGAGGAGGGATGGTTTGAGTTTTGGTACACTTGAAGTACTTGGCTCTGGTCTTTCCCTACTTACTAACCAAATGGATGTTTATTACTGCCAAGGATTTGGATGTGCTGTAGCAGCAGTGGTGTGGTTTGTGCTGCTGACGCTGCTCCCTGCACGCAGTGTCACTTGCACATGGAAGGGGCCAGAAATCTTTATGGGAAGCTCGGTTCTTCCTATTGCAAAACCTCATTCCGAATTTGACTCCTCGTTAATTTGTCCATGAATTGATTGCCTTTTTCATGTCATCCAGATGGTCTGTTGCAACTTCAGGGGCTGTGGCACGTTCTTTTGTTGAATGCTTGGTGGGAAATTAACATGCTGCTCTGGCAGATGGGAGGGACCCTGTCCTCTGGCCTTTCTGTCACGCAAATCCAGCTTTTCTCTTTCTCCCCTACCCCTAAAAAGTCTACATTAACTTGAAAACAGTGGGAGGGAATTAAATGTGTTTTGAAAGGGTGATCCCATGGGTAGGGGTGGTATTGAGTGCTTACACAGGGTATAGAAAGGGCTTGTGGGAAGAGAGGTTGTTCAGCAAAATGAATGGCGTTTAGAGTTGTTAATCTGTGTCATTAGCACTGTGTACCAGAAAGTTTAAACTGTGCCTGACTGAATAGCACGAGTCTTTGAAATTCACAGCAGTGCTGGCAGCCCGCTGGCTTTTATCCTCTCTTGCTGCACCCTGCCTGCTCCAGCTGTTGTGCCCAGCATCCTGCGTGCTCCACATCCCCACTGCTCCCTCGTTTCAGCTGCCAGAAAGCCATCTGTGAAGAACCCGCAAGAGGTTGACTTGAAGAGACCTGCAGAAAGCAAGTTGGTGTTGCCATTGGACCCACGGAGTGAAAGTGAGCATGGGAGGGAGCAGAAGGCACACCTCACATCTCTGCTCTGGGTGCGTGGTTAATGTAACACAGGCAAACTTTATCACCCCCTTCTGAGGAGTGATGTGTGTCCAACTTGCTCAAGAGATCTGTTGGTCGCAGTGCAGCAGTTTGTACTTCTGTAGTGGTGTGTACCCTAAGAAGCCCTCACCTCCTTCAGGTGACCGTGCTGGCTGCCTGCAGTGCTTTGAGTCAGGCCTCTCTTGAAACAGGTGGCTGCCATCTGTCTGCTGTTGCTTTTCTCTTGGTGGTTTCTGGATGACATATTTTGTCACAGGTAACTCAGCAGAAAAGGCTACTGATTGCTGAAAGGATTTTGTAGAACTGTTAAGCTTGGAGAAGAACTTTAAGGTTCCCAAGTCCAACCCCACCCCACCGTGCCCACCGACCACATCTCCCAGTGTCACACTTGTTTTTTGAACACATCCAGGGATGGTGACCCCACCACCTTCCTGAACAGCCTGTTCCAATGCCTTACTACTCTTTCTGAGGAGAAACTTTACCTAATTTTGATTGTCAAAACCCCTTGAGGGTGTTTTTTTTAAGTACAGTGGTTGCTCACCAAGTGATGCTCAGTTACCTCTTGGGTCAGGAGTGGCAGTTGCTCTGAGTTGTGCTGCAAGGCATTGTGCCACCTCCAAAATAATGGTTGCCCCTCTGTGCAGTTGTTCCTTTAAAGGAAACAAAAGAATACAGACTTGGTGGCTTATGGAAGTGTCCTGCTCCTGATGATTGGACTACTTCTGCTTTCTGAGATGTCAAGATGGAGAAGATGATCCTCCGGTAAAAGTGGTGGTGCTGTAGAGTGAAGCATTGAATTCTGTTGTAATGATTATCTTCCCATTCACCATCCCTGGAGGTGTGCAAGAAATGTTTAGATGTTGTACTGAGGGGCATGGTTTAGTGGGGAAATACTGATTGTAGGTGGACAGTGGGACTGGATGGTCGTGAGCTCTTTTCTGACCTTGGTGATTCTTTGAATAACTTTAGTATCAGAGGTCATTGCTTCGATATATATATATATATATATATATATATACAGCCATTTGAGTTGAAAGAAGCTTAAATTGGAGCTCAATGTGCTTTATTTATTTTAACATCCCTAGGAGAGTTATGTTTAAAGGCTTGAAGAGGAGGATTCTTAAGCCAATGGAAGAGAGTACTTGTCATTCTGAATCAGCAGTTACCGAGGAATTAATAAACAGGTGGTGCATCATTCCAGGAACGTCTTCCATCTCCCCTGCCTAAAGGCCACATGCTGCTTTTCTTTGAAGGATATGAACAAAATTAAACAAGCATTAAGCTTTTCCAAAACTAAACATGGGCAATAGGGGTGTGTTGGGCTCCCAGTTACGGGCTCGGCTCATGGCACCTCTGATTGCTACCTGATCTGTGCCGTTCAGGTACCTGCTTCTTTCCCTCTTCTCTTCCACTGGCCCCACAGTTTTTATGCTGCAGCTTCGTGCCTGGTTACTGTGACAGCAGAGCATAGGGCAGAAGTGTGCTGGTGCCCAAGCAGTGCAGCATTTTTGGGCCACGTCCTTCATTTGGAAGGAGGCAGTGAAGATGTGGCTTTCCACACTGTCCCAGCCTTGCAGCTCCACTGCAGCCCTGATGCTGTGGGCTCACTCAACTAAGCCCAGAGATAACCACAGCTGGGTTTGGTGATAGTGGGACTGCGGGCGGATGCCGGGGGGGCGGGGGGGGGGAAGTGCTGGGAATGTGCAGCCTAAGGCTCTGATTTCAGTTTGGAAAACACCCTAAAAGAGCTTTGAACAAGGAGCCTCGTGGTAAGGCTCATCAGAAGGGAATGCTTTGGTTGGCGCAGATCTGCCCCGAGCTGATGCTCAGGCTTTGGTCAAAGGAAGGAAATGAGCTCGCTGAGACTTCCGCCTGTGTGCCACGCGTGGGGACACTTCATCTGACAACCTGGGAAAGAGATGGAGAGATCAGGGAGCCTTCCTGTGGTGGGACTTCATGCATAAGGCGTTTGTGAGCATGCTTTTGCTCAAACGCAGAATTCTTGCAGTGTTTGACTTTATGAAAAACGTCCTGATTGTATGTTGGGATTCAGCTGCCCTAGCTTGTTCTAGCTGACTTTGCATAAGCAGATCTCTTGAATTAATGGCCCATTAAAATAAGCGGGCAAAATGATATTTCTGCAGCTGTCTGACTGCTGGGGAAGCAGGTTCAAGGACAGCAGGTTGATATGTAGGGTGGTTTTTGTTGTGTTTTTTTTTTTTTTTTTTTTTTTTTAATCATCATAATTTTAGGAAAAAAAATGAAACTAAAGCCTGATTTTCATAACTGTTGCTGAAGTATTGGATGGCGCTTCCAAAGGCAGTATAATTTACATACTTGCTCATTTTGGTGTTAATAACTCAGTGGCTTTTCTTGCTGTGGGCTCAGGGCTCCTGTGGTGATGGATGAGAGAGGGCTGGTGGGAGAGCAGCGTGCTGCTGGTGGTCACTGCACATCTGAACAAAGGATGGATGGATGGAGGCTGGACATGTCCGTGGTGCCTCAGCACTGTGCTGTGTTCAGTACTCAGCAGCTCCTGCAGAACAATGCTGTGAACACGTCAGGTTGGCTGGGCTGGTGTTGTGTCAGCATTCTTCTCATTGAAAAGCTTCCCAAGGAGCTGTGTGTGCCAGCCTTGTGTCTGCAGGAGGCAGCTTCCCTGTCTGCTCTGCCACTGTGTGAAGCTGCAGATAGCCTGTGTACAAGGATACACCTTTGTAGAATACAGCTGTGAGAAAGGTTGTGCCGCCTTCTGATTTTTTTGGGGGTGGAGGGGGAAGAGCTCTTCAGGCCAGCGAATGAGCTGTTAGCCTTAAGGAGAGGATTTTCTTGATGCAACTTTCACCTACTTGCTTAATCTGCAACTGCCTGGAGGAATGGAAAATGAGCTTAGCTTACCTGGCGGCATCTCTTGCAGAGCTTTTCCTTTAATTGTGTCCTACCCACACAGAGATAAAGGTGAGGAAGAGAAGCCCTGGAGTGATGCACTTCTGTGCAGGTATGCAGCTGTGCCTTTGGTTCAGCTCTGTCCTGTGCTGCTGTGATCCCAGGTGCTCAAGCACTGCTTTCCAGCATCTCTCCCATCCCCAAGACTGCCACACCGTGCTAGGTTAGGGATCTTCACAGTGTATTTGGGCTGCAGGAGGCTGTAGCTTGCATTCTTGTTAATGTGGCTGGTGCTGAGTAAGTTCTTCCACTCTTTCAATTGCACTTCCTTTAGGTTTATGTCCTTCTCACAGATGGAAAAAATGTTAAAAATAGCAGGGCCATTGTGCTGGTGCTGGGAGTCCTGCTGGCAGCCAGGCATGCACTGCATCTTAAGGAGCACTGGGATTTGGGCTGCGTTGCTCTCCTGTGCCTTCCTGCCCTGCCACTTGGAGCTGGGAGGGGAACCTTTTGTGTCCCCAAATGTGAGCTTACACCACTCGCTTCAGCAGATATGTGGGCTTATCTCAGGCCTGCAAAGCGCTTGCCCAGCGTTACTCTGCATCCAGCTGTCTCGTGCAGCTGTGAAAGTCATCTGTGACTCGTGTGGGACAGCAGCTCTGCCAGGAATTAGGACATAGAACAAACAGAAGGAGAATGTAGGAGCTGTATTTTTCTTTTTTTTTTTTTTTTTTTTTTTAGCTTGTGTAAAATGGTTGAAGAAAATCCAGTCTGGTGAAGGTGTGACTGTGGGGATAAGGGATTTTATTTTCCTGTTGGTGAGGTAGTGGTTGTTTCACTTTTTCTTACTGTGCATTCCCCATCATGTGGTTTTGGTAAGGAGCATTTAATGTGTGCAGCATCTTGATTTGTCGATACTGTGTGCTCTCTGTCTGGGGGGTGGAAGCCATGCTGTTTGAAGAGCATTTCTTGAGCACATACAGGTTAAACTTCTCTGCTCTCTACCAACTGTATGGACAAACAGGTGGCAGAGCAAAATGCAGGGAGCTGACCTGGCTGATCCCGTTGTTGGGGGCACTGAGGCTTTCCTGTTTATGCAGCATGCCTCTCAGATGTTCATCCCACTCCTTATGAATAAAGCACTTGGTGTTGATCTCCGGGGTTCTGGCATGCCCCTCATTGTGCAGGTTTTGATGTCTCCTCTTTCATAAAATGCATCCATTTGTAAGTATCAGAGGGAAATCTCTGTCTTTGAAGGCATGAAAATCCACCACTGTCAAATTGGCAAACACTCTTTTCTTTTCTTTTTTTTTTTTCCTTTCCTTTTGGAGCCAACAATCCATTAGAGAAATTAAAATGGTATTTATTTTCTTTTTCCCATTCCTTCTTCCCCCCTAAGTACTTCTGTCCTGAGAGCAGCACAGGCCCTGGGCAAGCTGCTTTGCAGAGCTGGGGATCACAGAATGATGGTTAGATGCTTGCCTGCTGGAAGCTCCTTACTCTGAACATGATGCAAATATTCCAAAACTGCTGAATTATAAAGCTGGTGGCAATAGCAAGCAACTTTGCCCTTGGAAAGAATTACCCAAATCTCTGCTAAGTGCTCATGCAGAGTCCCCATGGCATAGAATACCTTACGTTGGAAGGGTCCTTATAGACCATCCAGTTCCCCCTGGGCGTGTGCTGGCTGCCCCCACCAGCTGGGGCTGCCCAGGGCCCCATCCCACCTGGCCTTCATGCTCCAGTTGTGCATTCTTTAAATGGAAACTTATTTTTTTTTCTCCTGAAGATGTTGCACACAGTTTCGTTTGCAGAACTGTTTGCTCCAAAAATGTTTTCTTTCAGGAAGCAGAAAGATCTGGGGGCACTCAGCTGGATGCTTCCTTTGTAACCAGCATGACAGCAAGCCAGAGTACTCTTAGCTAAATAAAGTTTTGCCAAAACACACATTTTTTTTATTTGAAGAAATATCACCAGGAACACTCAGGAAGAGGAGTTGGTCTGGACACTAGCCTGATTTTTTCAGTTTTCTGATTTCTATTAAGCATGAGCCTGGATTGTGGAGACTAAGGTTATGAATCCACCGGGAGCCTATAGGGAAGATGCCAAATGAGTTTTCTTGAGTGTGAAACGTTTTGTTTCTCAACCCAGCCTGCTTGTAGAGGGATGGCACTGAAGTGCCTGCTGGGCCACCGCAGGCCAAGCAGAGATCTCAGCCTGACAGCTCTGTGCTGCTTTGTTCCTGTGGCATCTGTATGGAGCAGGGTTGTTTTCTGCTTCCAGCAGGGGCAGTTAGAGGAAAATGTTTCTAAAATATTTCAATGCTTCAGAGTTTTGTGAAAATGTTTTAGAAATAGAGCTCTATTCCATGCAACCACTTTCTCCCTCTGGCTCTCATTTCCTTCTATAAGAAAAGGATTTCGTATCTGTCAGTAACCTTCCTGCAGAAGCAGTGATGCTGTTTGGACAGCTACAAAGACAGCGGCCCAAATGGGGACACGTGTCCATAGCAACTGGGGAAAAAAAGAGCAAAAAGAGGAGGTGAAGCAGCAAGCTCTCTACTGGCTCACCCATCCTCTGAGGCTGGTGATGTGGGAACATCTTGCCCAGTGGTTATGCAAGGAGTGTGCTTGAAGACATCCAGGGATGTCTTCTTGCCCTGCTGTTCAATCAGAGGTGGAACTGATGCTTCCCTACATCTAGAATCATCTGATTTGCAGAACTTCATACTTTCAATTGACAGAGTTACAAAGTCTTGGTAAGAAATAAGTGCTCATCTGTTTGTTGAAAATAAAGGGGATAAGTAGGAAAAGAAGATCTCTTATTTCCCCTAAACACAATTGCAAAGCTCTTAACCAACACAGCTTATCAGGATCTGTGTGTACTGCCTGTGCATGCTGTCAGCTTCAGGCTGATCTCTGAGTTCTTGTGTTCCTCCCCACTGTTGTGTAAAGCAGAAATTACAATAGAAATGTATCTCAAGTGTAGTCTGGAAGGGCTTTCTGTAAATTTGTCTGGGGTTTTCTGTAAACTTGTGTGTCCTTTCTTGTCTTGTTCCTCAGTGATGCAGTAGCTTTGGCTCTTGGTTATGATCAAAGTCTGAAGACTGCTAGATTTGTTTTAATATTTCATGGTTTAGGATGTCAAGAGATTGAAAACTAAGAATACATCTACTATGTAACTAAGGTTTCTGAGGAGAGGAACGTGTTACAGAAATACTTAGACGGCCTGTAGATTTTACCATTTAATGAGAAATGAGGCTGTAACACATTTGGACAAGCCAAGAAGGCCAAAGGCATCTTGGCTTGTATCAGCAGTGGTGCAGCCAGCCTCTTGTCCTGGCACTTGGCAGAGGTGAATACAGCCTTCATCCGGAGAGTGGCTAGCCAGTTGGATGCTCATGTTTTGTTGGTTTTTTTTTTTAACATTTACCTCTGTAGACAGGATTTGACAGCTGCTTTCGTTCTCAACACTTCGTTAATGGTTCTTGTCCATGTGAGCTGTTCTGTGTGTGAAGATAAGGGTGATGGCAGAAGATAGCTCTCCTCTTTGCATTGCTGAAGCCTGGTCCAAACAATTCATTCAAGCTGGAAGGGTCGGCAGGGGCTGTCGAGAGGAACAGATGGTTCTTATTCCTAAATTTACAGTGTTTTTTCCCCTTCCCCC